AGTAAAGAAACACATCACGGGGCTGGAGAGATGGCTCAGCGGTTATGATCACTTGCTGTTCTTTTTTTTTTTAGATTTATTTATTTATTATGTACACAGTGTTCTGTCTGCACATATCCCTGCAGGCCAGAAGAAGGCACCAGATCTCATTACAGATGGTTGTAAGCCACCATGTGGTTGCTGGGAATTGAACTCAGGACCTTTGGAAGAGCAAGCAGTGCTCTTGACCTCTGAGCCATCTCTCCAGCCCCACTTGCTGTTCTTTTAGAGGACCCAGGTTCAATCACCAGTACCCACATGGTGGTTTACAACCATTCCTAACTCCAGTTCCACAGGATCCAATGCCCTCTTCTGGACTCCCAGATAACAGGCATGCATATGGTACACAGACATACATGCAGTCAAAACACCCATACACATAAAATAAAAATACATCTTTAAAACATTCTTTTATATTTTTTTGTGAGTGGAGGAAGGGGAGGTGGGGAGGGAGGGAGGGGAAGGAGAGAGAGAGAGAGAGAGAGAGGGAAGGAGGGAGAGAAGGGAGGGAGGAGGGAGGGAGGGGGGGAGGGGGAGTGTGTGTGTGTGTGGGAGAGATCGATCCTTCTTCTATGTGGGCCCCACAGATCCCATTCAGGTCATCAGGTTTGGCAGCAAGCACCTTTACCTCTTGAGCCATCTCACCAGCCCACTAGACTTCTCTTGACTTGATCCAAGGAGGGTATATTTACCAGTCCCAAAGGTGGGTTTATTCTTAAGCTGTATACAGTCACTTATTTGACGCTCCAAGAAAATTGACGACTGAATGACAGTTTCCGGGTGAAGGACAGAGGCTAAGATTGATTTCATTCTTAAATAAACAGCAAATAAATACTTTTTTATTTTTAAATCTGTCTATCTGGGACACTAAAATGAAGCACTGAACATTGGAAGATACCATAGTATCACAGATACATGACAGTTTAAGACCTTACCGTTCGTCCCAGCACCTCAGCTTATCCCACTGGGTAATTTGTCAAATGATACTTGGTGTTTTTCCTTAATATGACACTTGACTATAACTGTCTAAGAAAAAAGTTTCCAAGAATGTAGGAAAGTAGGAATTCAAGCAGGACTGACATCAATCTGAGATCATGCCTAAAGGATCAGGCATGTAGGAGGGCTACTGAGGCTATGCAACTGATGCAAGTACAGGACACAAATACTAAAGCCACCTTGGACGCCGCAAAAACAGAGGCAAGAAGGAATAACTGCTTCCCCAAACAGATAATATTTTTATTATCCTGCTAAAAAAGACTCAGTATAAAGTGCTCAAGTATTCCTTCATGTGTAAGAGATTAAGAGGGGCAATAAAAAATATTGAATGGCTTTGTCAGTAAGAATGGTGAAAGCAATGACGCAAATGACTTGGACGTAACTAATCTGGAGACACAGATTCTACCTTTAAGAAAAAGGTTTATTTAAAACACACAAACCAAGCCACCAAAACAGACAGAGGGATGGAAGGCTCAAAAAGCAGAACTTGTGGTGAGATCTTTTACTGAAAATAGAAAAGTAAACCCATCACAAAAAAGAATTCCCACAATTTTGACTTGTAGTTTCTACCAACATTATCCAGGGCTACTTAAAAAAAAAAAAAAGCCAAATTTATGTAGTGTTCAATATTAATTCATACTTTTGGGGAGATATGAAATAAAATCTCGATTCTCTTAGCTTAAACATTGTTACCAAGAGGTTCTTTTCTCCTCTACAATAGTTACTGAACTAAGAGTGATACAAAAGAATCAGGAAAAGAGCAAGACTCAAGCAGATTAAAAGAGCATAGAAGGGGTTGGAGAGCGCACCAGCTGCTCTTCCAGAGGTCCTGAGTTCAATTCCCAGCACCCACATGGTGACTCACAACCATCTATAGTGGGATCTGATGCCCTCTTCTGGCCTGCAGACATACATGCAGACAGAGCACTCATACAGAAAAGAAATCTTAAAAAAGAAGAAAAAGAGCATAGAGGAGGGTTTGCAAGAGCCCCAAATCTACTAAAAATATGCACCGTCTTAAAAAAAATTTGCAAATTTGATGAACCAAGTTAGATTTAAGATAACTGAACTTAAACCTGGAAATTTCTGCCACTTCAAAAGTAACAATGTAAGAAACTTTTCTAAAACCGTTTCCTTAGCAACTGAGAACTTAATGACTATCCATAAACAACATAAGCCCTTATACGGCCTATTTTCTTACCTTTCAGAATAACACTATCAAAACTATAATAAAAGGCAGAGAGTAAAGAGTGGTGAGAAATTGAAGTGGGAGCTAAACATTTCTAATACCCACGGGCATGGGGACTAAGAAAACGCATTGCGCCGGGCGGTGGTGGCGCACGCCTTTAATCCCAGCACTCGGGAGGCAGAACCAGGTGGATCTCTGTGAGTTCGAGGCCAGCCTGGGCTACCAAGTGAGTTCCAGGAAAAGGCGCAAAGCTACACAGAGAAACCCTGTCTCGAAAAACCAAAAAAAAAAAAAAAAAAAAAAAAAAAAAAGAAAACGCATTGCATGTTACTCTGAAAGGAACAAACATCAACTCATAACTTTGATAGCTTTAAAATTTCAAATCAGGTCTGTAATTCCACAGGCCTATAATTCCAACACTCAGGGGGGCTGAGGCAGGAGGATTCTGAGTTTGACACCAGCTTGCACTACACAGTGATATGGTCTCAAAGTAAACAAACTGATTAATTAAAATAACTACCCATTTATAACGATGTGCACATTATATCAAGACCAGTACAAGACTATCCCACAGGTCTACTGCAACCGAAACGGACAGTGTATTTGATGGTAGGGATGGGAGGACTGACATTGCCATTGCCAAAACCGGTAAGGAGACAAGCGACACAGCCTTACTACCTTCTTCACACTGTGAGAAACTTCACGGAAGGATTCCTCTCAACAGCTTGCCCTCTCAAAAGTATCACTTCTGCCGCAATGTTTACACAAATCTCAATCCTTAACAATTGAAACAATGAGTCCTATAACAATTAAGATGCAGCCTCCCCAAGGACAAGAACATACTCTGTATCAGATTACTGAAATCATTCTAATATAAATCACCCCAGCTGCAAAGTGTAAATGAATAAAACACCGCTGCCTTTTTGAGCTAAGAAACGTGTCCGCCCCATCCCCCCCCAATAGTATATGCCTTAATCCCAAACACTGGGGAGGCAGAGGCAGGGATATCTTTGAGTTCAAATCAAGGCCAGCCTAGTCTATATATATAGTGAATTCCAGGACAGCCGGAGCTACACAGTGAGAACCTATCTCAAAAACAAACAAACAAAAACAAAAAAACAACAAAAAAAAACCCCCCCACAAAACCAAAAGCCAAACACCGAAACCAAACAAACCAACAACAAAAAACAAACCAACAAAACAAGTTCTGCTTTGTTTTGTTTTGTCTCAGAAGGTCTGGCAGAGGCGAACACCAAATCTTACAATTAATAAAACTCACACACACACACCCTCCTGCATTTGAGGCAAAATGTTTACTACATAACTCACATTTACAGTAAACTCAGAACACTAAAGCCAACAGTAAAACCAATGACCAACTAACTTTTCCTGCATTACCTATTCATTTTAACATTCGGCGACTAAGACAGTAAAACAGTACTTACATTTCTGTTGAATTTGGTGAAAGAATGGTGCATATAAAACCTGTGCATATAAACAATCGCAGTGTTTATTGTAAGCTGAGAGCTGGGATGCAACGTTTAGGAAATAATCTGAGAAAAGTATTCCTAAAAACCAAATCAATTTGGATGGAAAACCCCCGATTTATTTTAGTTCCTTTCCATTTACTCAAAATCCAACCCCCAACCTGTAAGTAAGTACATAAAAAAGTCTGCGGGGGAAAGAGAGAGACTAGGCTCGATGCCAAATTACTCTAATATGCTACGTAAAGAGCGCCCGGGAATTATTTGCAATGGCTACAGCTTAGTACAAGAGAAATAAAGTAGTCGAAAGGCGCGCGCCACACACCCAAAGAACATAAAAGATTCCCCCACGCGTTCCCACAGCACAAGAGAGCCGCCCTGGAGCCGGCAAGGAAGGCTTGGAAAACGCTTTCTGTGAAATATCTGGGACCTTCCTGCGTCTCAAAGCCTTTTCCGACTTCCGAAGGAGTGGAAGGGGCCGTCCCTCGGCTTCGCTCATCCCGGATCCCCCTCTCGCCGGGGCAGCAATGCTATTCCCCAGCGCATCACGCGCTTCCAGGCACAGGTTACACAACGCGGGCTCCCGGCCTGCCTTCCCCGGCTCATCTCCCCCTCGGGCTCGCCACGGCAGCCCCGGCCCAAGCTTTCCGTGTCTCTCTCTTTCCCGAGGCCAGGAGAAGGCAGAGGCAGCGGCGCCATGTTCGCAGGGCACTAGGCCCGGTCACCCGGCGAGCGCGACCGGGGCGTGAGGGACGCAGGGCCGCCCCTAGGAAAAGGATACACATTGAGACGTTGCCCCATGTCTTGGATGAGGTTGGCCGCCTGCTGGCGATGCGACAGCTCTTCATCCGCTTCCACTCCGCAGCGGCGGCTCGGCGTGTTCTCCAGCTGTTCTCGAGTAAAGAACCAGCGAGAAGAAGCTCCACGGCCCGACGCCATGACACTTCCTCCTCCGCCCGCACCCTGAGCCCGCCCCCTCCCCGCCCGCCTCCGAGACTCCGCGCCAAGGCCTCGAGGCCCCGCCCCAATGCGCTCGCCGTAGAGTGTGTCACGCCCTTTCCGGTCCTGCCGCTCCTCGTGCGCACGCGCCGGGGTCCTCCCTGCCGGCTCGCCCTGGTCTTTTGCTTTCTCCTTCCGGTCTCCCGCCTCTCTCTCTGGCCCGCTGGACCACAATGCTCCGCGCCTCTTGTCATTGGGAAGGCGCCGAAAGCAGGGGTCACTCGAAAAGAAAAGGTCGACGCGGTGCATGCTGGGTATGGGAAGGGAGTAAGGCGAAGGGGCGGGGCGGAGGAGAAGAGGTCACGCGGCTGCGCAATAGGGTTTGGGCGGATGCTTTCAACTTTGCGGTTTATTTCTCGGTCTGTGAGTTTGCGGGTTCATTGAAGACAGGAAAGTCTGTTCTCGTACGGCTTCACGCCACAGCCTCCATTTTCCTTACAGGTTCCTGGGTGTATTTGCTTGGGTGTGTTGGCTCCTGTGCCCACGAATGACTGCCGTCCCCTGGACGGCTCGGGAGAGGAGTCAGCTAGGAAAGACTGGGAAAAAAATAACGCTTTTTCTAACCGTGGTCGGCACCTCGGTGTCTTCTGTAGTTTTTAAAAAATCGCTAGTAGGCCGGGCGGCGATGGCGCACTCCTTTGATCCCAGCACTCGGGAGGCAGAGCCAGGCGGATCTCTGTGAGTTCGAGGCCAGCCTGGTGTACAGAGCGAGATCCAGGACAGGCATCAAAATTACACAGAGAAACCCTGTCTCGGAAAAACCAAACCAAACAAACAAAGTCGCTAGTAGATGTTGGAGGTAAACGCCTTTAAAACGTTACTTTAAATAAACCTAAAATAAACCCAAGGGGTGGGTTTATTTCATTTACTATTTTTAAAACAATGTGCCTGTGTCTCGGGCTGGCCTTGAATTCACTATGTAGCCAACGATGACCTTGAACTCCGGATCCTCTTGCTTCCACCTCCAAAGTGCTGAGATTACAGACCGGGGGCACCACTGCAGATATCTTTCTTTTTAAATCCCTTGCCAAACATTATGCAATTAATAATTGGAGGACATGACTTTCTAGGCCTTCCATACAGATTGGGCGTATGGTTTTAAACCTGTGTGTGGTTTCTGCTGCTCGAGGTTTGCAGAAGTTGGGGAGGAGCCGAAATGTCATAACCCAGGTTGTCCAGGAACTGACAGAGGCTGGAGGATGATTTTGAGCCCTAGATCCCCCTCCTCTCACCTCTGGAGTGCAGGGATTATAGGCCGGTGCCTGAAGAAAAAATTCTTTAGGATTTTATAAAGTAAGATCTCTTATAACTGATGATTAATTCCATCTTTTTGCAAGAAAATGCCACTTACTTGGTTACATGTTATCTGCCTCTGAGTTAATGCCTATTGCTTATGACCAATTTATGTTTAAGTTTTTAGCTGTATGCTGAAGACTGCAGTAGGGTAGTACAAACTGGCTTCTAAAAAAGCAAGTGAGCAGCCGGGCGGTGGTGGCGCACGCCTTTAATCCCAGCACTCGGGAGGCAGAGCCAGGCGGATCTCTGTGAGTTCGAGGCCAGCCTGGGCTACCAAGTGAGTTCCAGGAAAGGCACAAAGCTACACAGAGAAACCCTGTCTCGAAAAACCAAAAAAGCAAGTGAGCGCTGGGCTGGTGAGATGGCTGAGCAGCTAAGGGCACTTGCTGACAACCTTTGTTCAGTCACCACTGTCCATTTAGTAGAAGGAAAGAAGGAATGTCCTACAAGTTGTCCTCTGACCTTCACGTGTTCAATGACACACAGTCATAAATGTAAAGAAAACGACCCTATCTAAAAAAATTCCTAAAAAATAAATAAAAGGGCTGGTGTGTTTGTAATTAAAACTTGAAGTTTTTGTTTGTCAGTATTTTTGGGGTTTCTGCCCTCAGCCTACTGCCTGCTCCATCATACTATGCTAATGTCTTGATTATTGTAGGTGGTTATTGTGAACAGCTACCTAAATACCTTGTTACAGATATTATAGCAAGATAGCACATCTTGTTTCCTAGATTGATTAAAAGCAACATTCTATCAGTGCCTTCCTCCAACATCCATTCCTACTGAGAAAAAGAGAGAAAAACAAAACAAAACAAAAACAAAAACAAAAACCAAAAAAGAAATGGAGGAAAGTTTCTTCAACTTGGCAGAGAGCATCTACAGAAGACCATAGCCAGCATGATGCTTGATGCTAAGATGCTAAGATCCAGGACAAAGCAAGGCTGTGTCCTCTCTGTTGAGTCCTTTCAACATTGTATGAAGTGTCTTAGGTGATACAATAAAAAAGAGAAACTGAAAGCAGATTGGGAAGGAAGAGTTAGATCTATCTGTCCATAGATGATATAATTAAAACTTTTTAAAAACAATTGTATGTGTTGCTGCTGGCACACCAGAGCACACATGTGGAGGTTGAAGGACAATGTGAATGACCCTCTTCTTGCCTACCATATGGACTGTGGGGATTGAACTAGTCATCAGCCTTGGTGGCAGTGACCTTTATCCACTGAACTATCTTGTTAATCCATTAAACCCCATTCATTCATTTTTTAAAAACATTTATTTTTAAGTGTATGAGTGCCTGCAAGTATGAATGTGCACCACATGTGTGCATGGTGCCCACAATGGCTAGAAGACACTGTCAGATTTCCTGGAACTGGAGTTGTGAGCCAGGTAATGGCTGCTGGGGTCTGAATCTTGGGTCCTCCACAAGAGCTGGAAGATGCTGAGCCATCTCTCCAGCCTCAGCTTTTCCTTTCCTTTGGATACACAAAACTAACTGACCTTGGCCTTCTGTGCTGCTTCTCTAATTGGCCTCACATGATCTTGCTGCTTTACACTAAGAATCTCTCCCTTTCTCACTTCCATCCCCAGGAGTCTTTCTTGGCTTGTCCTTCCCTGCCACAAGACTTAAATTTATACTATTCTGTTAATTCTTTTGGGCAACTTCAATATGAAAATCTAAACGCTTCACTGTGATCTACTGATCTGACTAAATTTCTGGCTTCCTCTGTTTTCGATTGTCCACATGCTCCAATCTCTTCCTGGCCCTATCTCCTTTGCACTGTTGCCAGGCAGGAAGGCTTTTCATGGCTAACCAATCCTCTTTACAGTGGATTCCTTTGTCCTCTTTACAATGGCTTTCTTTGACTCCACAACTGAATATTTTACTTCCGCTCTCCTAGTCACTGTCACATTTTCCTTAATGTCTTTAAGGTAATTAGCAATAAAGAGAAATTTCCTTCTGTCCTCCTGGCCCTCCTCTCATCCTCTATTCTCTTGCCTCCTCCCTTAATGTTTCTCACTTTTCAAATTTCATCCCTTTTTTTTTTTTTTACATCTATACACCCTCCCCATCCAGTGCCTAGAACATTCTCGAATCCCTGGCACATAGAAAAATGTTCTTGTGAAGATGAATACGAGCATCTACTATGTTACTAGAAGTTTTGGGGTACTCCACTGGGGTGCTACATGTTACCTGGGAAACTGTGGTTACTTCTCGGGTTTCTTAGTATGCTAATAAAAAAATTTAAAAGACTCAGAAGAAACTTTAAGGACAACTTTATTAGGGTTTAAGGAGAAAAAAAAAATGCAGGGCCACCAAGCTATAAACCTTGGTATCTACCTGGAGGAGGAAGATGATGAGAAAAAAGCCATGCTGTTTGTAAGCTACCTGGCTAAAAGAGGAGAGCTAACAGAAAGAAGGAGAAATTCCAGTGTGTGTGTGTGTGTGTGTGTGTGTGTGTGTATTAGCATGCCTAGGCTTTGGCAAATATCAGAAGCTGATAGGCTTAATGAGGCTGCCTGGCTGTGGCCCTTAAGTACCTATGCAGAGGGCAGAGATCTGGAAAGGGAAAGTACACAACTTCATTCCAAGCTTAATATTTTTCCCATCCCTTTAGCATAATTGAAGGCAGTTGTTCTCAACCTGTGGGTTGCAACCCATTTGAGAATCTAATGACCCCTTCACAGGGGTTATCTAAGACCATCTGAAAACACAAATATTTACATTAAAATTCATAACTATCAAAATTACAGTTCTAAAGTGACAATGAAAATAATTTTATGGTTGGAGTCACCACAACACGAGGAGCTATATTAAAAGGTCATAGTGTCAGGAAGGTTGAGAGTCATTGCCTTAAGATGAGCCCACCTTTCAGAGGGGTGATTCCTTAGCCAGGCATTTGACCAGGCTAGCTGTAATCTTAGGTCTCTAGGCCATTAATTCCATACCATTTCCCTTAATGGACCTTTAACACTACTGTAATACCTGCATATATTTGTGACATTGAATAAAGTAATCAGGTCACCTGATAACCAGTCATATCCTGTGGTTGGTCTGGACTGTCATCTTGGGAGGATTGATAAGTGTCTAGCAGATTAGTACGGCACACATCTGGGGTTGCCTGTGAGGGCCTTTCCGGAGAGAAATTACCTGGGGAAGGACCCCTCCTGAACGCAAATGGAATAGAATAAAGGGAAGAAAGAAACTCCCCTTACCACAGGTACCCTCTCTGCTCTCCGGTCACTGTGGCATGAACTACCGTGTTCCACCCCGTCATACCTGGTACTGAAATCTCTGGTACTGAGCCGGAAGAAACCTTTTGGTTCAAGTTGTTTCTTTTGTACTTGATTACACCATCGGAAGAGTAACTAGTAGAGAAAGTTGGTACTGGGGAAGTGGAGCTGTTGCTGACACTGACTGACTGTGGTTGAGAAGAACTGATTGGAAGGAAGATGTCGGGAAGCCGGCTCTAGAACGCTTGGGAGTATGCCGACAGAACTCCTGGCAGAGAGCCAGTGAGAATGGGTGAGCCTGTGGCTGGGAACAAGGGCGCTACTGAGAATTGGAGCCTAGAGGCCATTTGTGTTATGGTGCCTAGATTCTGTCTATGCTCTAAGTCTATGGGAGGCTGGATTGATTGGTAATAGACTAGTTAAACTGGAGCAGGAAATTTGAAGGCAGCCCATTATCCCAGCTTTGGAATGGACATTCCTGGCTGCTTTTAACTAGTTTTATAGTGAGAACTGGGAACAAGAGAGCAGAGAAGATTTGAAAAAGAATTGGGTCAGAAAAGGATGGTGTTCCAAAATAAGGCTTAAGAAAGCATGGTGTTTGAAGAGATTAGGCTCTTAAAAAGAACCCAGGAGGGTGTGGGTGCTCTGTCGGCAGACAGTGCATTGAGGATGCATGAAGCCCTGGTTCTGTCCCAACACTGCATAAAAACAGACTGGGCGTGGTGGCACAGCCTGTAACCAGCACTGGTGGTGGTGGTGAGGTGGACAGGAGTCAGAAGTTCAAGGACATACTTGGCTACATTGTGAGTTGAACTCAAGGTCAGGCTAGGATACTTGAGATTGTCTTTTAAAAAAAAAAGCCAAGTATCTTGCACCAGGACAGTAGAAAAGATACTTTGAATCTATGCAATCAGTGAGCTCCCACTCATCACAGCTACAAGGATACAGAGATGCAAACTAATTGGATAGACTGTCCCTGGAGTAGAGAACTAACGCAGCGCTTTCTAAGGCGTTCCTTCAGGAGGCCCCTCCATCTGTGGTCAGAGGGGCTCAGCTACTGCTCAGGCTGGAAGCAGACACTGCTGTTGTCCACATGCTGCTAGGTCTGCAGGCAAACAAAATGTAAGAGTTGCAGAGTCATGGATGTCAGCCCACGCCGTTGCCACCAGGGCTAAGTCTCTGGGATTGAAGGATATTCCAAAGATCTGATATGTGGGGTCAACCAGGGGACCCTAGGTGCTTGAGCTCAAGAGTAGAGCAAGCAAAGCACTTCTCATTTTTATTATTAAAGCAAGCAAAACATGAGGTGATGTTCATGGTTAGCTTAAGAAAATACGTCATGGGAATACATTTGGCATTATGTCTTATCTTTGGTCACGTGAAAAGAGTCAAGAGTATTCCTCCCAGGCCTTTGCCTTTCCCACAGAGAGAATGTGGACATGCCAGATACTCCCTTCATGTCCTTGCTCTCAAGTCCATTCACTTATCATAGTTTGTACATTTCTTTCTAGAAGGCCACCTTGTGGGAAGAACGTTCTGCATTCTGCCCCATCCAAAGTTCTCAGTAAGTTTACTGCTTCCTTGCACAGACTCTCACAATAGAAGCCTCTATCCAGATTTCAAAGGAGAGTCTGGGAGGCTAGGCAATGTGTAACATTGTTAGAGTCCTTGCAGGCAGCTCCTTAGAGGGCAGTGCATGAATCTGTGAGAGTGAAATCTAGGATGAATGTTGTGGAGAACCCAGGATGTTGGTGATGTCAGGAAGTTGGGAATTCTCCTGAGGAAAGTATTGGGCAGTGTGGAGCCAGCCCAAGAGAGGCTAGGTGGCTTGGGAATGGCAAGACCATGGGGACTGATTTTCCCAAGCCCTGGCACAGCTCTATGAGCTCTGGGTACTGGACGTGGAGCTACAGGATTTAATATTTGCCCTGCCAGGTTTCAGTCTTGCTTTGGGCAGATCCTTCCTGGATTCTTTACTTTGGGAATGGGAATGTTTTTGATAGGTACTTGGGACTATATACCTTGATGTTAGCAGAGCACACAGCTAAGTGTTTGCCCCAGTCTCGGGAGACTGGACTAGAGCTTTGGAGCATTGGGGTTGGGGAGGGATTGAATCTTATGGTATAAGGAGATGTGTTGGAATGTCAGGTTGACTTGGGATGGTTAATCTTGAGATTACTAAAGCCCACTTCTAGATGTGTCTGTGAAGACCCTTCCAGAGAGGACTAAGAGACAGTGACCTTCCTTGAATGTGGGTGACACCATCCCATGGGCTGGGTCCCAGACTGAAAAAAGGAAAAAGGACCAAGTCCATGACCCCAGGCCTTCTCTCCCCCTGCCGCTGTCCCACAGTAGTGTGAGCTATTCTGCTCTGCCAGGCCTCCCTCTCCCACCACAACGGACTGAAACTTCCTTTGAGTTTTTTGTGTGTCCTTTTTGGTCACAGTGAAGCAAAGTAACTAACAAAAATATTATGTGTGTAGTTCTCAGACATGAAATATTTGAAAAGGAGTAGACATTTCTTCCAAAGATTTGGGGAAGGTGGAAAACAGTAACATATGCTTCCGATTGTTGCTTTGTTCAACTTTATTTTTCTTTCAAGACAGATTGGAGTAGTAAGTAGAGTGATAGTTGGGGAAAATTCTAGAAAGCAATGAGAGGAGCCGGAAGGAGGGGGTTATTGAAGCACAGATGGCGGAAATAAGAGAACGGGAGTCAGGGAGCAGGAATTAGGTCCCCTCTTTCTCTGTTGCAGAGCCGCCACAAGGTGTGCATTAACAGTGAGCCTGCTTTTGTAGAACAATGGGAAGAAAAGCAAGGATGCCTCCCAAGTTAAGAGGGTAGTATGGAAAGATTATCTGATGTGAAGGAGAGATGCTGCGTGCTACCCTGCCCCAGGCCCATGTCCCTTCGCTGCGACTCAGGTGGACCGGTGGGGCCTTGAACAAAGGGCATCATGGTGTCACCCACTCACTCCCCAGAGCTCACTCCACCTCCTGCTCTGATAAAAGTAAACTTACAGATGAAATTCCCTTTAGAACAAGTTTCATCCACTCCGAAGTCACACCTCTGTCCCCATAGCTTCTTTTTCTTCATTTTCTTCTGATCTACCTTCCCTCTTCTGTTTATTTACTTACTTATTTATTTTTGAGACAGACTCTCACTATGTATCCTTGGCTGGCTGGCCTAGAGCTTGTTACGCAGACCAGGCTAGCCTCAATCAGAGATCCACTGCCTACCTCTGCCTCCTGAGTGCTGGCATTAGAGGCATGCACCGCCATGCCCAGCCCACCATCCTTTTACTTTTTAAGGAAGTGTCCATCCATCCTCCTGGACTCAGCCCAAGTTCTAAGATCTGCCAGACTCTGGGAGACTAAAATAAATTGGACTGAAGTGTTTTTGAGCTTTCTGTTGGATCACTCAGCAATTATTCCATGAGCATTTGCCTTACTTTCTTAATTAGCTTTTGAGTTTGCACATATCCTGTGTGTAGTTTACAAAGACAAAAACATTCCCAGGGAATGACTAGACTATTGCAAAGTGTTACAACTGGAAAAAACAGATTACTTGAGCACAATTCCCGTATCTTGGATCAAAGTAGAGAATGCACCTGAGCCTTCTAGAGTAAGGCTGGTGTTGGATTTTCTCTATGTAGATCATTAATTATACATTAATTTTAAATCTCCAAATTAAATAGTTTTTATTTGCATATGTAGCAATGTACTGCTTTTCAGTACATTACATTTCAGAATAAAGACCTTATGAAACATCTTGTTATTATTAATAAGTTAGAATATTTGAGAATATTACCCCTCCACTCCTCACCCCTTTTCATTTAAAGACAGTCTCATGTAGCCCAGACTGGCCTGGAATTTGAATTCCTGATCCTCCTGCATTGTCCTGAGGGGGGATATTCCATTTTTTGGGTAACATAATTCAAAATAGAATTTTAGTGATGTGTGTATGACTCATGTTCAAAGACAGAAGTGATGTAGCTTCTTCGAAGTTTGTTTTTCTGTGGTTAATTGTGACATTCAAATAGTTTTCTCTCAAGACCCAAAAAAGCCAAGGCATTGCCAGCTGTGAGTTTATCCTGAATAAAAGAGAGAGAAAGAGAGAGAAGTTTTACTTTAAAGCATGATTGGCTTGATAAAGCACTTATTAGAGTCATTGATTACTTTTTTTTACATTTGTGTGTGTGTGTGTGTATGTGTGTGTGTGTGTGTTCTCATGCAGAGGATTTATGCATTTAGTTATACTGGGCTTATTTTAAGACATAAAGATTCTCTTGTTTTTTTTTTTTTTTTTTGGTTTTTCGAGACAGGGTTTCTCTGAGTAGCTTTGCGCCTTTCCTGGGACTCACTTGGTAGTCCAGGCTGGCCTCGAACTCACAGAGATCCACCTGCCTCTGCCTCCCGAGTGCTGGGATTAAAGGCGTGCGCCACCACCGCCCGGCAGATTCTCTTGTTTTTAATAGTCTAGCGATGTCAGAAGATTGAGTCAAATGAAAGTTGTAGGCAAATGAAGTATAATGGGCTCTCTGTTCAGCTCAGGAAGAAGACCGAGGTTCAAGGCATGTACCTTTGTTTCTTCGTCGAATTCTCCCATGGACTCTATCAACTTCCCGGGCTCCTGCTCACCTAGTGGAAAGGGGTAATCAGTTCCCAGAATGACTTTATCCTAAAAGGAGAAAAACACAATTTTATTTGTAAATATGAGAACATTAAAGAGCCTTCTGTACACTTAATTTGCTTATCATATACACCCGTCTGGTAAAACAAGCACTTTCTTCCTAATTTAATAAACCAGAACCGCTCTAAAACGTTAAAGACTTAAAGGTTCAGTTTCCATTTTGCTGTTTTTCTGTCCCAGCAGGTGTCACTATTAGGTCTTCTAAGAACTGTAAATCTACTTCCAGGCTTGCTTCTGAGTATGCGTGTCTACAAGGGTGGAGGCCAGAACACAGTCTCCGGTGTCTCGTTCCTGAGGTGCTGTCCACCTTGGTTTTTGAAACAAGGTCTGTCACTGTCCTGGAATTCATTAAAGATGCTCCTCTGGCTAGCCTGTGATCCCCAGGGCCACCTGTCTCTGCCTTCCCAGTGCTTGGAACGCAGGTGTGTACCATCACACCTGGATCTTTTTAATATGGGTTCTGGGAATCGGACCCAAGTAAGTATGCTTGTATGATGAACGCTTAATTGAATGGGCTATTCTACACCTCAGCCCGTTTATTTTCTTAGTAATTGAAATACAGAATACTGAAATATAAGAAATGGCTATTTACTTGATAAAACATACAGATATATTCTGATGAAATGAAATATTCTGCCTTTCTTATAATGACACATCACAAGTGAGCCTGTAAGAAAGTAGAGTTGGAAAGAAAAGTTTGGGCTAAATGGTAGTCTAACTCCTCATAGCTCTGTAAATAATTCCTTTGTTAACTTCTCTTGAGCTTTCCCACATGAAATGTGGCATCCTTTCTGCCAAGCTCTCTAAATGAGCCATGGTCCCTTCCAGTCACAGCAAGCCTTTCATAGTTGGCTGACTTGAATGGGTTGATTCCTCTGGTTGCAGTGTCCTAGTCATCTTGAACTCTGATTTGTGTGTGTGTGTGTGTGTGTGTGTGTGTGTGTGTGGTGTTTGGGGGTGGGAGATGGAGTACCATATGTGTGAAAGTGTTGGTGGAGAGACCAGAAAATGGTGTCAGAGCCACTGGTGTTGGAATTGTAAGTGGTTATAAGCTGCCTGATGTGGGTGGGTGTTGGGACCTGAACTTGGTCTTCTGCAAGTGCAGTGAGTGCTCTTAACCACTGAGATATCCCTACAGCCCTGTTGAACTCCACTTCATACTAATTAATTAACGTGGTATTTAGTTTTTAATTTTATAAAGTTTTAAAGCTACAGAAGAGTTGCCATGAAATTCAAGAATCTGCCATATAACCATCACCCAAGTTAAAAAGTTGTTAATATTTTGACACCTTACTTTGTTATTTTTAGGTATATGTATGTGTGTATGTATGTATGCATGTATGTATTCATGAAACCACGGTGAGTTTGGAGACATCATTGCCCTTTATTCCTAAATAAATTAGCGTTTATTTCCTAAAAACAGGACTTTTTCTTTTCTTTTATAACATGAACTTATTTGTGGTGTGTGTGTGTGTGTGTGAGAGAGAGAGGGATGGGGCGATGGTGACATGTGGAGGTCAGAGTACAAACTGTGGGAGTCAGTTCTCTCCTTCCACCCTGTGGGTTCTGATCAAACCCAGGTTGTCAGACTTGGCAGCAAGTCCCTTTACCCATGGAACCAGCTTGACTTCTTCTTTCTCCTCTCCTCCCTTCTCCTCTTCTCTTCATTTTTGAAAGGGTTTCATCAGATAGCGTTGGTTGGCAAGTGTCTTGCTGTGTAGACCAGGCTAGCCTAGAAACTCACAGAGATCTGACCACCTTTGCCTTCAGTGTGCTGTGATTAAAGACATGTGCCAACAGGCCTGGCTAAGGAGACACTTCTTATATGACTACAATGCACTTTCTAAAATCAGGAAATGCACCATGGAGGGAGGGAGACATGTGCTGCAGCGCACATGTGGAGGTCTAACCGCAAAGTTTTGGGAATCAGTTTTCTCCCTTCAGGAAGTGTAAGTCATTTGTTTATCTGTTTGTGTGGGAGAGATTTTACCTATTGAGTCAGCCCTCTGGCTCAATACAGTGTTTTGTTATCTTAACTGACACTGTTTTTTGGTTGTACTAACAGTGTGCACTATCCATCCATCCATCCACCCACCCACCTCTCTCTCTCTCTCTCTCTCTCTCTCTCTCTCTCTCTCTCTCTCTCTCTCTCTCAATCTATCTATCAATCACTATCTTATCTATCATATCTATCTATCTAATCTATCTATCTATCTGTCTAGAAAAGGGCTCCCTACATAGTCCTGGCTAGCCTGGAACTCACTATGTAAAGCAGGCTGGTCTAAAACTCACAGAGGTCCACCTGCCTCTGCCTCCTGAGTACTGGGATTAAAGGCATGCACCACCACACCCAGCTTATGTATTTACTTTAGTATTTGTACTTTGAGAATAATACTTTTATAAATTCATCAGTACCATGCAGTGTTGATACAGGCCTACATTGTGTAATGATAAAATCAAGGCATTGGGCTATCCATCAGCTAATCATTTAGTGCTTCTTTGAGGTGAAACAATTCTCCCATACCTATTTTGAAACATACAAGAAATTTCTGGGTCATATAGTAAGTTCCAGTTAACCTGGGCTACAAAGTGAGACCCTGTCTCCAGAAGCAATGACCAACCCACCAGCTAAAGAACCCCAGGAGATCTGGCATGTTACACAGTGGGATGACTATACATAATAATAATGTTCTGTATATTTCAAAAAGCCAGGAGAAATGACTTGTAATGTTTAACCATAGAGATATGCTTGGGTAGATATGTTTAACCTGATAGAAACATTATACCATTTACACATATATCAAAAATCATACCAGATATATGTGTACATATATATATATATATATATATATATATGTACACATATAGTGTTCAAAATAACTTCAAACTTAAAAAATACTTCAATTGGTAATATACACTGGAGGAAATGGTCATTTAAAAAATAGAAATTTAACCTGGGTGTTGGTGGTACATGCCTTTAATTCCAGCACTGAGGAGGCAGAGGCAAGTGGATCTCTGTGAATTTGAGGCCAGCCTGGTCCACAGAGTGAGATCTTATGTTATGTATATGTATATATATATTTGATGGCTAGGGAGATAGTTCAGAGAGTGCTTGTTGCCCAATCATGATGAACTGAGTTCAAATCCCCAGTACCTCAACTGAACATGTTTGTGCATGTGCCTATAATTCTAGTGCTGTGTGAGGCAGAGGCAGGAGGAGTGTTGGGGGCTTCCTGGCTGCCAGCCTAGCTCCAGATTCAGTGAGAGACCTTGTCTTAAGAGAACAAAACAGCGTGATAGGATAGAACCCATGATGTCCAACACACACACACACACACACACACACACACACACACACACACACACACTCACACACACACACACCCCCCACAGTTTCAAAGTCCATGATTGACTACCAAATCTATGTTTAGATTTCTGTATTCATTTGTATATGAAGCCAAGCAAATACACCTGCTGCGGAAGCCCTCAAGACACACAGTTATGTCTCCTTGCATCTGTGCCAGCAGCTGATCTTGTTCTAACACTCTGCTTGGTATGCACCAGGGGTTCATCTCCTCTTCTTGCTAAAGCTGTTTACATTTCCAACATACAACATGATTTTAGAGTCCCACGCTTATACTGCCCTCGTCAGCTCCATTAGCATGAAGATGAAATCCAGGCATTAATTTTCTAATTAGGAACTTTTCCCTTCCCAGCATGCTGGCATTCTCAAATATAAATATGCTTTAGGAAGCAGTCTGTCCTGTTTTAATATGGAGAAAGCAAAGGCGCCTAAAGCAGAAGTGAAAAGCAGTCTTCCAGTCTTCTGCAATTCATCCCTCCTGATTATTTCCTTGGTTTCCTTCTGTGTGTGTGCATGTGCATGTGTGTGTGCGCATGCATGTGCGTGTGCATGTGTGTGTGCATGTGTGTGTTCAGAGGATAGTGTCAGATGCCAGTCCTTCTTGACTTCCACTTATTTCAGACAGGGTCCTTCTGTTGTTTTTCTGCTGCATGTACCAGGATAGCTGGCCCTTGGGCTTCTAAGAGCATTGGGATTAAAGATGTTCACGCTGTGTATCTAGCTCTTAAACGGGTTCTGGGGATTCAAACCCAGGTGCCCAGGGATGCATTGCCAGTGCTTTACCTGCTGAGCCATCTCATTTCCCCAGTCCCTTGGATTGATTTTTTTTTAAAATTTTTAAATTCTACCACAGACCAGCAAACTCATGGTTTGAAAGGTTTAAATTATTACTTCGACTTGCTCTCAACTTCTTTCTATAGAAGGTTCTATATCTGCTTGTAACTTTCTGAGTTTTAAACTTTTCATGCCTTTTATTGGTAACTGTCTTAGTCACTGTTCTGTTGCTGTGAAGAGACACCATGACCAACACTTAGAAAGCATTTAATTGAGAGCTGGCTTACAGTTCAGAGGCTTAGTCCATTATCATCATGGTGCGAATCAGACAGGCATGGACTGGGGGAGTAACTGAGAGATACATCCTGATCCGTAGGCAGAGAGAGAGAGAGAGAGAGAGAGAGAGAGAGAGAGAGAGAGACTTTTGAAACTTCAAAGCCCACCACCAGTGACACACTTCCTCCAACAAGGCCACACTTCCTAAGCCTTCTAATCCTTTCAAACATTTCTACTCCCTGGTGACTAAACATTCACATATGTGAGCCAATTGGGACCATTCTTATTCAACCAACACAGTAACTCTTGATCGTCTCCAGCTTGATAGCAATTTTACAAATTCATTGGTTTTGAAATTGGTCTAAATCTGGGCTATCATCCTTAATGCTTTAGATTTTTTTCTTTTTAAATCCATCGTCCTTAGATTCTTTCATTTTGAAATAAATCCAGTTAATAGTAATTATTTAGCCATTATTCTTCTTATGAGGTGACTCTGCCCATAATAATTCTTTGAACTAGCCAGGTGGTGGTGGTGCACACCTTTAATTCAAGCACTCGGGAGGCAGAGCCAGGTGGATCTCTGTGAGTTGGAGGTCAGCCTGGTCTACAGAGTGAGTTCCAGGACAGGCACCAAAACTACACAGAGAAACCCTGTCTCGAAAAACAACAACAACAAAAATTCTTTGAATTGGAATTGGACTTGTAAAAAAAAAATCTTCTTTTGAGATGGTTGGAATATAACTTTGACACATATGCTTTCAAGTTGATTAACTTGAAAATTGCTTTAGTAAATGTGTGAATGAGTTGAAGGAACAATTTCTTGAATGGGTGTGGGGCTGGAGAGATGGCTAAGTGGTTATGAGCTTGTATTGTTCATGCAGAGGGACTGAGTTAGTTCCCAGCTGTACCATGAATCTTAAAAGATCTTATTAATAAAAACAAACCCGGAGCCAGGTACTAGGGCAAACGCTGAAAGATCAGTCAGGTAGAACAAGCCACAGCTGACCTCACCCGGCCAACTTCTCAGCCGATCCTGTTTCCTCAGACTGGAAGCCTCTGAGTCCTCATCCGAGTTGATCTCAGCTGAACTGCTGCTAAAAGACTAAAAGCTTAGCAAGACTCTAGTTCCTGGTCCTCACACCTTATATACCTTTCTGCTTCCTGCCATTACTTCCTGGGATTAAAGGCATGTGTCTTTCCCAAGCAAGACATGAGATCTCAAGTGCTGGGGTTAAAGGTGTGAGTCACCATGTCTGGTTGTTTTCAGTGTGACTTTGAACTCACAGAGATCCAGATGGATCTCTGCTTCCAGAAGGCTAGGATTAAAGGTGTGTATGCCACCGTTTTTTCTGGCCTCTATGTCTATCCAGTGGCTGTTCTGTTTTCTGACCCCAGATAAGTTTATTAGGGTGCACAATATATTGCGGGACACAATATCAGCACACCCAGCACCCATCTCAGGCTGCTCACAAAGCCTTGTAACTCCAGCTCCTGGGGGGTCTGACTTCTAGCCACTGTAGAATGTGCTGCTACTCATGTGCACATAACCACATCCCCATATATACACATATACAATAAAAACCCAACTTTTTTATTGTTTGAATATATGAAAGAAGGAACCCTGGTGTAATTAGTCCTGAAATATTAGGTACAAGAAAGTAGGCACAAGAAATGAAAGTCTTGTTAATGTGGAGCTCTTGTTTTGAGGGAAAGGAGATTGCATCAGGAAGGAAGTAAGGAAAAGAGACTCCTCAAGATTTGTGTGGTTCTGCAGGAAGGAGAGCACACACCCACCCATCAGTTGATAACCCCTCTACTTGATAGATGCTTAATAAATACTCGAGTAAAAATACTTTGAAAAATTGCTGCTTCTTCATTCGTCATGATGGTTAATATTGATCATCAATTTGACAGCATCTAGAATCACCTAGACGACAAACCTCTGGGCATGTCTGTGGTGGAGTTTCTAGATTGGGTTAATTGATGTGAGAAGACTCACTCTGATTGTGGACAGTACTATTCCATGAGCTGAATGAAATGGAAAAGGTCAGCTGAGCACCAGCATTCATCTCTTCCTCCTTTCTCACTATAGATGCTATGAGACTAGCTGCCATCTGCTCCTGCAACAATGCCTTCCCGGTTATGATAGACGATACCCTTGAACTGTGAGCTGAAATAAGCCCTTTCTTCCTGAAGTTGTTTTTGTCAGACATTTTATAACAAGAAGAAAAGTATCCAATTCACCTATTATCTTACAGCTGCAATTTTCCTGTGTATTAAATGAATCATAAGGAAGAATCCGGGGCTGAGGAAGCCCAAGCATGGCCTTGCACAGACAGTTGCTCTGCTGTCAACTGGCCTGACCTCCCTGGGACACACAAGACTGTGTCAGGTTCTCATCACATCTGTTCCCAGAAGAGTCTGTTCCCTAGGGATCTACTAAGATTATGAATCAGTTTCTGAAGATATATGTCTGAATGAGCTAATGTGGCATTTCACATCTACTGTTTTAGAAGGCCCCCTTTAAAGGTTCTGTGAGGGCCAGCTGTGATAGCACAGACCTGTAAACTGAGGCACTTAGGAGTGAGTATGAGACAGAAAATATGAGGTAGGCGGTACTGATCTGTTTAAGAGTGGAGAAATTAAGCTGAGCATAAGCAAGCAAGTGAGCATGCTCACATTCATTTCTCGCTGCTGTCCACTGTGGATGTGATGTGACCAGCTGCTTCAAGCTCCTGTCTTGACTTCTCCACAATGATGGATGGTAACCTGGAATCGTAAGCTGAAAGAAACCCTGTTATCCCCTCTGCAGCTTCTTGTCAGGGTGTTTTATCATAGCAACAGAGATGAAACTAGAACAGTCACCCAGCTACCACGTGCTAGAACCAGAATTTCCTCTCATTGTCCACAACTTCTTGAGGGAGAGTTAGAAGCCTCTCAGGAGGCTTACAGGCATCAAAACAGGGTTTCCCTCTTTCGTACTGCAGTGCATTGGAAGACATCATTTATCAAAGTTATTTGGAGATGGAAGTATAAAAATAAACATAAATGTCAAGTTGGGTGAGAGCTGGGCAGGAAACCCTGTTTGTCTCAAGTCATTTTAGAAGTGTTTCTATTAACATGTAACATTCTATTTCCTGCCATAGTCCTGGAACTAGTAAAATCTTTCTTTGATGACAAAGAATCTTTTTAGTGACGTCAGATCACTGAGTTTGGATTTCCAGAATCTTTGTAAAGCCAGATTTGGTAGCACCTATCCATGGTCTCAGCACGTCCATAGCAAGAGAGGGTAAGTGGGAATCCTGGGAAGATGGTGGGCCTGGTGGATGCAGCAGTGATAAGACTGTCTCCAAACAGGTGGATGGCGAGGACTGGCACTAGAAGTTGTCTTCTGATGTCCAAGCACCTGCGCATGTTCATGCATGCATGCATGCACGCATGTGCGTGCACACATATACATACACACACACACACACACACACACACACACACACACACACACACACGACTTGGATGAAGACACACAGGCTTAAGTACACTTGCAGAAATTCTTAGAGAAGTAAGAAAATGTATTGTTGGGCATTTTTGGTCTGTTGTCTTTTGTTTTGATTTTCATTTTTTTTTTTTGAAAGAGAGAAATGAAACAAAGTTAGGTGGGTAGGGAAGTCGGGAGGATCTATGAGGTGCTGGGGAAGAAGAAAATGGTCAAAATATATTGTATGAAAATTTTTTTAAATGAAATAAAAAAGAAAATGTATGATATTTACCCAACAAAAAACAGGATATATAAAACTAGTTGAGGCCTGAAAATGGTGATAATTCATGAGAAATTACAAGTAAAAATCTAAAGGCCAACCACTGATGAAGTCGTTGAGGAACATTCCCAGAAAAATCAAAGTTCAAAGGATCGTTCTGATCTGGGGATTGTTTTTAGAAGGGAATCTGCCCATGTGACTGTAACTAGAATTGGGGAGCATTACTATTTTAAAGAGAATAATGAAAACAGCTTCTAAGTCCTGGATCTACCGGCCTGCGAGGGCATAGAAAACTTGAGGGTTTCATGTCCAAATTATAGTCATTCAAGCTGTCACAGTGTGAAGACAAGACACTAGAACCATTACCTTTCCTGGGAGCCCTGCTCAGGATGTACACACACGTGCCCACTACCTGCTGTACCCACTGGGGTCACAGTGAACTTGCCAAGCTCTTCTTCTTCAGCTAGTGTATTTGTCTCAGGTACTATTTCAAGGTGGGAATAGTAACCCCCATTGCTGGTTATATTATTCAGAGGATGGGCTTTGAACTTGACGGTGGTGTTTTTCTCATGATGTTTCCATTTCCGAGAATGCTAGTGGACACTCTGTTCAATGGGGCACTGTTCAGAGTGGCCCTTTGCCCAGCTTCCTGTCTCTTCCCCTCTTCTGCTGCTAAAAGTTCAGGACCCACAGTAGCCTTTGGGTTCTCTCCTTTGCGCTTTCCTGCTTACATACTTGCTCCCATTTTCAGTATTTCCAGATACTTTTAGAAAATTCTATGGGGCTGGAGAGATGGCTCAGCAGTTAAAAGCACTGACTGCTCTTCCAGAGGGATCATTCCCGGCACCCACATGGTAGCTCAAACTCCAGGATCCAACACCCTCACATAGACGTACATACAGGCAAAACACCAATAAAATAGAAATAAATAAATTAAAAAAAGACCACCCTCTGCATCCCGGGTGAAATTGGAAACCTTCTACAGATACGCATGTGCAATAAGATGGAACTGAAATGTGATCGCTCCTCTGTGCTCCTTAGTCATCTACTACACTCTCCAGTCCTGTGTGCTGAAATCCAACCAACTGGGCATGGAGAATACTTGAAACAATCTCTCACCCATGCTCCTCCTGCTCCTGTGGGTAGCCCTTCACCCCTAACAACCCTAACAAAGCTCACTGGGTCACCAAAAAGGGGGAGAAGGGTGGAGGTTAGGGGGTATGCTTGTTATTTTTGTCAACCTGACACAAACCTAGACATACCTGGGAAACTTCGACTGAGGCGTTGCCTGTCTCAGATTGGCCTGTGGGCATTGTGTTAATGGCTGTGAGAGGGCCCAGCCACTGTGGGCGGGGCCATCCCTGCGCAGGTGGGTTTGTGTGGTGGAAGGAAGGTACTGAGCAAGCGTGCTCCTCCTTGGTTTCTGCTTCAGTTCCTGTCTCCAGGTCCCTGCACTGAGCTTCTGTCCTAGTTTAGAACGCACTCTAACCTGTCAGCCCAATAACCTTTTCCCCGCCCAGGCACGTTTGCTAACGGTGTTATCACAGCGACAGAAAGCAAATTAACAACTAAGACAGGAGAAAGAGAGGGTGATGGGAGTAAATATGATCAGAGCACATCATACACACGTGTGACTATGTCATAGTGACTCAATGGGAAAATACTTTGGAAAATAGCTTTTGTTTTTAACATGTAGAAGCTGACTCCCTTTAATTACCTCCTAAGCAATAGAATAAAGTAGACCAAGTAGACACCACTCACTTTGTATTATGATTGTAAGGGATCTAGAGCATTTAGGAGGGTGTGTATAAGTTATATACAAAAACTATACCACTTAATATAAAACAATTGGGCATCTGAGAGTTTTGGTATCTTTTGGGGTCCTGGAATCAATTCTCTTTGTACCAAGAAGCAATAGTACATATTTCGGATGTTTTACTAACTCGAACTTTCCTTTTCCCTCAAAAGTGTCTAACCTGTCAAGTAGCAGGCTGCTGGTCTAGCCTGCTGCTTTCCACAAGCCATCCAAATGGGACCCCAGCTTACCTTTCCTATGACATCTGTCAACAGCTTCAGAGACCGAGGATCGTGAACCAGGGAGTCTGTGTAGAAGGAGCCAAGGTATTTCCTGGGGTCAGATGAATTGTCCTGGGCACAGAGATCTGGGCGCATGTTGAATCCATGGGCGATTCTTCCTATTGTGAAGGGGAAGGCACCACCTGCAAGGAGGCAGAGGCAGGAGGATTGCAAGTTCAAAGACTAACTGCTTGGTCTACAGAGTGAGTTTAAGGCCAGACTGGGAAACTAGTGAGAGACTGTCTCAAAATAAACTTAAGGGGCTGGAGAAACAGCTTGGCAGGTTCTTGTTGTTACAGAAGACCTCTGGTACCCAGCACCCATGACAGGCGGCTCACAACTACCTGTAACTAGCTCCAGTGGCTCTGACATCCTCCTCTGGTCTCAGAAAGCACCTGTGCACACGTACACACACACACACACACACACACACACACACACACACACACACACACACACAGACATATCAACAACAATAACCTTTTTTAAAAATTGAAAAGGGCGCTGGGCGGCGGTGGCGCACGCCTTTAACCCCAGCACTCGGGAGGCAGAGCCAGGTGGATCTCTGTGAGTCTGAGGCCAGCCTGGTCTACAAAGTGAGTTCCAGGACAGGCACAAAAGCTACACAGAGAAGCCCTGTATCGAAGAAAAAAAAAAAAAACCAAAAAAAAAAAAAAAACCAAAAACCAAAAAACAAAAAAAAAAAAAACCCAAACAAACAAAATTCAAAAGGGCTTGGATGTAGCTTGGCATAGAGCACCTGCCTAGTGTGTGTGAGGCTCTAGAGTCAATGCTCAGTAGCACTAAAAATAAATGAGTAATAAACAAACAAACGAATAAATAAATGAAAGATGGATGGGGAGATAATTCACTTGGTAAAGTGAACGACTGTGCAGTGACATGTGAGGACTTTGAATGCCAGACATATGTAATACAGTCAGGCATCCTGTAATCCCAGCTCTGGGAAGGTGGAGACAGAAGGATCCCAGGGCTTGCTAGCTAATCAGTCTAGCCAGATTGATGAGGTCCAGGTTTAGTGAGGGACGCTGTCTTTAAAAAAAAAAAAAAAGGTGGGTGGCACCTGAGGAACAATACCCAACATTGGCCTCCTTGTCCTTGGCCTCCACATCCATCCACATGCATCCACAAGCATGCACAAAAAAACATGCTAAATACACACATGAAAGAAGAGACCAGAACCATCTCGTCCTCCAAGCACTGTCCTTTGTCCTTTCCTTGCCCATGAATGCACAGAGGAAGGGTCACATGAGGACCCAGGAGAAGGCCACCATCTATGTGCTAGGAGGAAAGCCCTCACCAGAAACCAGGCCTGTCAGCACTATAGTCTCCAATTTCTAGCCTCCAGAACTGTGATGAAATGTTGCTTTAAGTCACCCTGTCTGTGGCATTTTCTTAGGCCACTCTGAGCTGATGTGAATAGGGACTCACCTCCATGTGCAAAGCACACTTTGAGTTTGGGAAACTTCTCAAACACCCCACCCATGATCATGGAGCAGATGGCCATGGTGGTCTCCGATGGCATCCCTAGAAGAAGAAATGGGTTGTGTGATTCAGGGCTTGTTAACTTAAGCAAGAGGCTTAGGGACAGTGGCTGCAGAGCAATAGCTAAGTTGGGGACTTGTCGTGATGTGAAACACGGGGTCCCTCTGCCCAGAAATGATTCCAATGTATCCAGGGCATTACTTAGCCAAGAAGAACCACCGAAGGTCCCCATTTGCTGTTTCAAGGAGAGGGGCCTAAGAGATGGAACCGGCAAAGGGCTTGGCTTTGGTCCTGATGAGGCGGCAAGCTTGGTTTAGCTTGGGATTCCTGTTTGGTTTGGGGTTATACACATCTCCCCGTGTAACAATGCCCTCGGCAGCCCAATCCCTTCCCTTGCACATAGTATGCAAACACACATGCACACCTCTCCAAACAATGAACCTAGCAACCTCAGAACCTCTAGGCCCCCAATCTGCATCAGATTACATATACTCTCCTTTCTGAATGATGTTGTTAAGTTTCCCCAGCCCTGGTAACAATCAAACTTGGCTCATTTCGGCCGGGCGGTGGTGGCGCACGCCTTTAATCCCAGCACTTGGGAGGCAGAGCCAGGCGGATCTCTGTGAGTTCAAGGCCAGCCTGGTCTCCAAAGCGAGTTCCAGGAAAGGCGCAAAGCTACACAGAGAAACCCTGTCTCGAAAAACCAAAAAAAAAAAAAAAAAAAAAAAAAAAAAAAAAAACTTGGCTCATTTCTATTCAAGTGTATTCCCAACATATCCAGCTAGGAAGAATAAAAGGGCCTATCTGGCCTGAATTGGTTTGGGGTACATATACAGTAAGACAAAACTGTCTTCTAGTAACCTATTAGGGAGAATCTTACATTAATCATCTTATGCCTACATAAGTCAGGTGTATAATTAAAATAAAATGCATTATGGGAAGTGACATTCATAGTAAGTGTTGGGTCCCCAACCTTAAAAGGCAGCCAGTGATTATGTTTCAAGATGAGTCTGGGCTCACTCAACTCAGGCTGGACACAGAATTGCTGGCAGATAGATACGAGATTACAAGCAGCCAAGAAAAGCCACTTCCCTTGTCTCTTTCTACCTCAGGCAAATGGGGGAATCTAGTTACATACCAAAGCCTACACTAACCTGCAGGCTCCTTCAGTCCCTTTTAACATGAAGCTATGGTGAGTTTCAATGCTATTCGGCTCTTCTGGATCTAACCCCCCAGGCTATTCCAATTTAGATATTCTTCCTCCCCCAACCCTTCGGCTACCTGCTCCCTTTAAAACCAACCACTCCCCACCCCCCCACCCTGACCTTCCTCTCTGCTCCTCTTTGCCTCCTGGGAGGTAGCTGTGGCAACTTTGGACTCCCCAAAATGCCTCTGGCTATTCTCTCTACCACACTAGAGTTATGCGGCAGCTTCATATTTACAATAAACCTTTTCTTTCCATGCACCATGGATCAGTCCAGTTCAGTGGTTTCACTGCACCCTTACTTACAGTAAGAAAATAAACACACGACCCAATCTAACAAACAAAACAGAGAACCAGATTATCAGTGTATCTACCGTCTGTACTATCTGTTCACTCCTAATAAAGTTACTCTGCAAATCTACGTGAGTCCTTATTTTCAGCTCCTTGGATAAGGGACCAAGAAGCTGGAACCCCCTGGCCTGGCCCTGATTCCCAGTAACACTGATTCCTTCTGTTTTCTTCTCAGAGCTGAGGACCAAACCCAGGTCCTTGTGCTTGCTAGACAAGTGCTCTACCACTGAGCTGAATCCCTAGCCTCTCTCCTTTCAGTCTGGATACGTAGTGTTAGTTAGGCTTCTGGGCAGAATGACAGCTCTTGGGATGTTCTGCCCTTGGCCTGGGAGCAGTTGTTTGGTGTTCTCGCCTGTGTTTCTTCGTGGGGAATGTGCTTTCCTGTCTTGTAGGGTTTTTGTGTAGTTTTGTACATAATGATCTCAGTAAAGTTCGTGGTTATGACTTCACATTGGAGGTGCTCAGCAAACATTAGTCAGCTCCCTCGGCTCTATTTCCTCATCTGTGAACTTAGGGTAGTTGTCAGGTCCAAATTCTGCCAGTTAGACAAAAGCCAACTTTCCTCAGGAACTTGTGAAGCCACTCCTCTTTACCAAGGGGGCCATTTCATTATCAGAAGGGACAAGTGGCTCTCTGTGGTGCCTATTACCATACCAAGGCACATGCTGGCCTCCAGGCTCCCTCAGTATCACGAGTACCTGTTACACATTTCAGAGTCCATACTGGCATCCTGGCTCTTCTCACTCCCTCTTACCCTGAACTTCCTGCCGCTCAGAAACTTCCCTCCCCCCAACCATACCTTGGAGTCATCACGCCTTCAGTTTATACAGCAGTGATGCTTGGTTCCTAGCAATGGGTTAATTTTAGGGTTCTGTGATAGTATCTGGTACATCACTACAGCTCACTAAATGTTAACGATTACTATTAATCCTGCCAAGTCTCTGCTGCTTCTTGGAGCTAAGGCTGAAAATTATTGGGTTGATGTGAATTTCTTCAAATGCTCCACACTCCTAGAAGCAGCAGTTGGCTCATGTTGGATGCTTTAGCCCCCAAGGAACTGACAAAGTTGGAGAAACTGAGTCTTCAAGTGATTGCTCATTAACTAGGAGGTACAGTTAACAGGAGAAAATGTAGTCAGGTAGATCTGTTAAATTGGAGTTAGCTGAGTAAAAGCCTAATCATGGTAGTTGCTATTACTCTCAATCTGATCCCACTTTCTTCCTCTGGCAGAATGGAGTCCCATGGATAACTGGAAAAACCCAAGAGTTGAAGCTGTGCTCCTGACCCCAGTCCAGCACAAACCTACGAGCCAAGGCAGCCAGTATTTGGCCATTCGACCATCCATCTGCATATCCCAGGGATGCACGAACAGAGAACAGTTCAGCCTCTCAGCTGCCTTAAATAGAGCAATGAGAAAGAGGTTATTGGGGGCCACCACTTTTTTATATCTCATTCCACGTTGATCTGAGCAAATAAGCTCAAATACTTTGAAATTCCTTCTTGATCAGTATAGAAGATTCCTTGACCAATTATTACTGCTTGAACAAATAAAAAGAACTCTCAGAATTAACCATAGGTTGATGAATTTAACATATTGCTTGGTGAAAGAAATTACAGGAAACATCCACCACTCAATGGTGTGTGTGTGTGTGTGTGTGTGTGTGAGAGAGAGAGAGAGAGAGAGAGAGAGAGAGAGAGAGAGAGAGAGAGACAGACAGACAGACAGACAGACAGACAGAGTCTTTCACTAGTCTGAAGCTCACTGATTTGTCTAGGTTGAGTGGCCAGTGAGCACCAGGAATCCATCTGTCTCTATTTCTCCAGTTCTGAGTTTCTAAGTGCATACCAACATGCCTAGCTTTTTTACACGGATTCTGGAGACTGAATTCAAGGTCTTGGACTTCCAAGGTAAGCACACTATTGACTGAAAATCTCTCCAGCCCCAACTCAAACATTTTGATGAAGAGCAAATGCCTAAAGTCCAGTCCCACACTTCAAATGCAGGGGAATTTTTCCCACTGGTGCCTGCACAGTGCACCCCTTCAGGATGACTGGGAGGGTATCCTTGGAGTCAGGGCAGGAGGGCTCCCTCCTTCTCCCCTCTTAGAAACCTGGAGCTTCAGAAAGTGAGGAAATGAGAGCCAGACATGTTTGTGTATACCTGCCAATGCAAGTTCAAAGCCAGCCTGAGCTACATAGGGAATGCCAGGTTAGGTACTAGTGCACAGACAGACCCCATATCAAACAAACAAACAAGTACATAAATAAATAAATAAATAAATAAATAAATAAATAAATAAATAAATAAATAAATAAATAAATAAATAAATTCAGGAAAATGATGAGATAGGGATTAGGCCCTTACAGATAGAATGGGGTAGGCTGATCTGATCTAAGTCATGAAGACAGTTGGATCCAACAGTGATGGGGTGTCTGGGTCTGTGGGTACTCTCACTGTTCCTTGAGCCCAGTGAGTCTCTCAGCACTCTCCCATGAATGAAAGGAATTTACTGAAGAGAGAATTCTCAGTGTCTGAGCTGGGTAGATACTAAGATGAATACTATGGGCTAACCTGCCTCAAGAGCTTGTGGGAAATGGAAAGACCATGTGGATGAAATGATCTTTAGTCAACAAAATGTTTGATTAAATCCTCTCAGTAGTTTTACTGGTGAGTTTTTTTTTTCTCAGCTCGACACAAGGTAGACTTTTCTGGGAAGAGAGAACCTCAACTGAGAAACTGTCCATTAGACTGCCTGTAGGCAAGTCTGTGGGGACCTTTTCTTGATTAATGATTGATATGGGAGGAGCCAGCCCACTGGGCAGGTGGTTCTCCAGGTTGCTTTGGTCACGGTGTTTTATCACAGCAGTAGAAGGAAAATTAGGACAATAGTCATTAATACTAGTGATCACCAAGGTTCTAAACAAGCTTTCATTAGGACATTTTCTTTTTAAGCATATTGGGACACAAGTGTGACTCATCCTACCTCTACACACAAATATTTGTGCTAACCCAGCTGATGCAATGTGACTTGTGTATGCAAGTATTTTTTAATATGGCACAGTTTTGGATAGCTAGGGATCCTAGGCAAGGGATGAACTGGAGATCTCCAACTCAGTGGGCTCTGCAGAGCACAGTGACATAAGCTTTTGAAGGCATGGAATTGAACTGCTTCCTGATCATGAATGCAAGCTGGAAAGAGAATACTGACTTCTTGGGATGCCATAGGCTTCCCCAAAGCACCTGATCACGGCCCTTTGTGAGATCTGACCTCTTGGGCTCAGATGACTAACTCAGCAGTTAAGAGAACTGGCTGCTTCTCCAGAGATCCCGAGTTAAATTCCCGGCAACCACATGGTGGTTCACAACCATCTATAGTGGGATCTGATGCCCCCTCTTCTGGCATAAAGGTGTACATGCAGAACTCATATACATAAATAAATAAATCTAAAAAAAGAATGAGATCTGACCTCTCATTAGGATAAGACTTGATTGAATTCTAACTAACATGAAAAAGAATTTCCTTCTATGTGTGGGGCATGACAGAGAACACAAAACCTCATACTCTGAAGATCATAACTAACATTCACGGAGCGCTTAATACCAGTGCTGCTATAAGAATTTTACAGCTATTAGGCTGAGCACATGACCCAGGTAGGAAAGTGCCAGCTGTGCAAGCATGAGGTCCAGAGTTCGGATCCCCAGAACCCATGGAAAAGCTGGGCACAGCAGCATCTGTTTGTAACTCCAGTGCTGGGGCGGGAGACAGGAGCATCTCTGGAGCCCACTGGTCTAGCCAGTTTAGTGGGGTCAACAAGCTCCAAGCTCAGTGAAATACCTCGTCTCTGAAAATGAGGTGAAAGGGCTGGTGAGGTGGCTTAGCGGTTAAGAGTCACTGTGGCTGCTCTTCCAGAGGACCAGCATTTGGTTCCCAGCACCCACGTGATGGCTCACAGTGGTCCATAACACCAGCCCCAGAAGATCTGAAGCCCTCTTCTGGCCTTGGAGGATACTACACACATGTGGTGCACAGACATACGTGCAGGCAAAACACTGATACATATACAATAAAATTTAAAATAAGACGAAGAGCAACTGAGGAAGACATTGGATGTCAGCATCTGACTTTCACACACACACACACACAAACAGATACATACACACACACACAGACACACTCACACTCACATCACACCACACCACACACAAACAAGAATTTTACAACTACTAACAATTTTAATCATTTATGAGACACGCACTCTGTGTGTTACACATGTTTAGAGACATGTACTCATGCCTGCCTCTGTAAGGAGAAGAGAGAAACCACGTAACTTAGTCAGGCCTTGGCATCGGATGAGTAGTAGAGTCAGGTGGTCAGGCGCTAATATTCTGCCTGCCTCAAAGCAGCAATGAAATAATTTTGTACCTGGGTGTATGTTACTATGTTTATTCACTTAGAAGAGAGGTCTATGGGAAAGGGGCGGGGGCATTGGGATGCTGCGGAGTGCCGGGACTCCCTTGAAATGACAGCACATGACAGCACCAACTCGGCTGTCAGTTCTTCCCCTTTGTTTGAGCACGTTACTGACGCATGCTAGAGAGGAGCTGGGCAGGCCAGCCTTGCTAACCAAACAAATAGATTGTCAGACCAGGGACACTGCAGGTCAACTCTGGTCCCTCAGAGACTGGCATGCTCCCAAACAATCTCGTTGGAGTGATAGATGGGTTGCACTCGGCACTCAGATGGAAATGTCTGTGTGCACTCCAGCGGCTGCTATTGCTTTCTAGCCCCCCAGGAATTTATAAACCCAGTTCCGATGAATACTAAAAATGACTTGTAGCTGAAGACTCTCGCACACTGTGCTGAGGCAACTTGGCTGCATGAGTAAATAAATCCTTGTTCAAAGCTCACTGAAATTTCCAGAAAACATTCTCTGCATCAGCTGAGCCTCTGCTGCTAATTGGTTCAGAGAGTTCAGTACTGAGAAGGATATTAAATCTTTAGAGGCGGTTTCACAGGCAATTCCCCGCATGGTGGGCAGTCACCACAGACACAGACATGGGAAATTGTTTGCATGTGATTAGAGCTCCATAAATATTAAATGAATAAATGACAGAGAGTAGAATGCCTGGTGAGTCTGCAAACATCTACTTAAATCAGTACTGAGGATTTTTGCATCACGATGGAAATAATAGGAAACTCTCCCATACCATTATAATTGTGAGAGGAGAGTGAGATTTGTAAAAAAAAAAACGCAATTGAGTGAAGAATCATGGATCTTAAATCCTGGTACCAAGGAGGGCTGATCCAGTTACAGGATGAGGAAGGAAGAGTGGTGGAGAGGATGGTGGGGTGGGAAACTGGGCACTTCAGAACTGGATAGTATCATTTTGAAAGCGTTTTTAATTTTGAACTATTTTAAATATAGACATTATAAACAATAACACAATAAACACTCATATACTCACCATCTGAGTTTATTAAATGTTAACATTTTCATTGCATTCTTATCTATATATGTAAAACCTCCATCTATCTATATATGTATATGTTATCTATCACCTATTTATAAGCTATGATATATAGATACTATCTACCCATCTATTGATATATCTATTTATATTTTTCCCCTTCCCCCTTTCTGCCCTTCCTTCTCATCTATATATATTTATTTTGAGGATTTTGAGACAGGATCTTGCTCTGTATCTCAGGCTTGCCTGAAACTCACTATGTAGCCCAGGCTGGCCTCAGATTCATGATCCTTCTTCCTCAGACTCCTGAATGATGAGATTATGGGCTGTACCTTCACGCTCAGCTTCATTATGTATTTTTATTATGTACTGCCAAAATACACCTTTAGCTGCCTAAGGTTCTTTCTGTATTTGGTTTGGTTTTTGGTTTTTGAAGACAGGGTTTCTCTGTGTAGCCCTGGCTGTTCTGGAACTTGCTTTGAAGACCAGGCTGGCTTCAAACTCAGATTTCTGCCTGTCTTTTCCTGAGTGCCCAGCTTCTTCCTAAGATTCTTAGTTGAGGACTGATGAATAAAATAAAAACATGCCAACACACTGGAATATTCTGCAGTTTAAAAAAAAAGTCATTCATTAAGATAATCTTCATTGGGCTGGGGAGGTTGTCATACAAGTGTGGGGTCTATTCTTCATGTTTTCAGAACCCACATAACAGCCAGGTGGCTGCCTGTGATCCTAGTAACAGGGAGCTGGAGACAGGATACTTGGGCTGAGCTGGCCAGACCAGCTGAAACAGGCAAACAGCAAGAGACCTGCTTCAGTAAATAAGGTGGAGAGCTATCTAGGAAGATGCCCGATGCTATGCACCACATGTTTGCACACATGTGTGCCCACACACATGCAAACATGAATGTAAGTATGCATGCCACATGCGCGCGCGCGCGCGCACACACACACACACACACATACAGATACAATGCTTATTTTGTTTGTAAATTTTCAATTAGGAGATGAGATCATATGTGCAACAGAATTCCAATTTTGTTAAAATATAGACATGCAAAGTTTTTAAATGAAATGAGACATAACAATGGTTATTATCTTTGGGTGGAATGATTGGTGTGTTTGTCTTTATTTGTATATTTTTTGTATTTCTACAGTCTCTTCAAAATTACTTCGTATTTTTGAAAAATATTATTTTTTCCATAGCAAAAAGAAAAGTGTGTGTGTGTGTGTGTGTGTGTGTGTGTGTGTGTGTGTGTGTTTGATTATGTAAAGTGCTAACAATGAGGGTGACATTTAGGCTTCCATGTACAATGAAAAGGAGTACCTGTGTGATACAGGAAGAGAGATATTTCATTTGAACTACTCCAGGGCAGGCCTGGGAAGTGTCCCGTCTTCTTCTGTAAAACGGCTCACTCTTTTGGTAGGATTTTTGGTAGATTTCTCCACTTTCTACCTACATCTAAAGTCACTGGCCTCTTGTGGTCCCCCTCCCCCACCAAAATGATCCCTTCTTGGTCCCCCACCAGCTTGGTGTCTGCCAGGCCAAGGCTGTGCTGCTGCATGTTGACTGAGTAAATGTTGGCTGAGCAAAAGCAGCAGTACTCACGGTGTAGACAGGGAAGAGTTCCGGGTCATTCAGGTCCCACATGTTGATGTGGGAGCCAATCTGGACTCCAGGAAATCCTAGCTCTCGCACACAACGCTCCATCTCCTCGACGGCCAGCTCTGGGGCTTGCATAGGCAATGTCCCCAAACCCACAAACCTTTGAGGGTATCTGGCAACGGTGGCAGCTAGGTCATTGTTTAAAAACTGGCACAGCTCCAAAGTATCCTTAGGTTTGGCCTGGTGAGAACAGAAAAGGTTCTGTGCCAGTCAAAATCGACTTTATCAGACGTTCATTCCCAACAATGTTGCCTGCCCAGCATGTAAGAAGCCATGGGTTCCAACCCCAGTGCTGTATAAACTGGGCGTGGTGGAGCCTACCTGTATCCTAGCACTCGGGAGATGGGGGCAGGGAGGATCCAAAGTTCAAAGTTATCCTCACCTACAAAGCAAGGCTGAAGCCATCCTGGGCTATTGGAGAGTTGGTCTCAAAAACAAACATCCAAACAAAGAGGAGGACAGTCAGGGGAGGGGCTTGATGGGACCAACTGCAAGATTTAAGTTGTCCGTCACCTACTGGGGAGCTGGACATGGACATGAGCCTTCACCACCAGGGAGATGGTTTGAGGCTTCACACTCACCCAGTAGCTAAACATGACAGGAACCGTGGAAAGAGCCTGTATTGTCACTCCTAGAGCACAAAGAGAGACAAATCTGTGAGAAGAAGAGCCTTTCCCAGGACAAGGAGGCCTGCGGCTTCCAACCCACCCTGCCATCTGGCCCCCACGGCTCCTCCCGCCGGCATGATCTCTCCCCCAACTCTCAGCTCTACAGAGAGGGAAGGTTGGACAAAATTGGATCATTCAAGAAGAATGACCTGACTCTATTTGCCAGGGATTTCTTCTACCCTCCTTGTGACAAAACTTTGTTTAGGCAAGGCATTTCTCCACCATTTAAAGAAAAATAGCTTTCGTTAATTATACAGCAATGCGTTTCGTTGGGATGCTTTTTAGACATGTATATAATGTATTTTGATCATGGTTACCCTATTATCACTCTTCCCGGTCCCCTCTCATTCCTGCTCATCCTTTCCTTTCATCTTCCCAGCTAACTTTTCTTCTACCTTCTTGTCATTTTTTTGGTCTCCATTTTTTTTTCTAGAGCTTTCCATTGTAAGTCATACATGACAAGTATATCTCTCAAGTCCCCTTAATTCAGCTCCTAAATTAGCCTGGATAGTTTCATGCAGTCCCCAGAGCTCAGTTCCACAGTCTCTGATGCAGGAATCTGAAAATCTGTGATCTGAAGAGAGCCTGCCTCCGGGGGTCATGGCAGGAACTGAATGAGTTAATGTGTGTCAGGGGTTCAGAACTGTGTGTAGGGGCAAAGACAAGGCTTACTGAAAGTTCGTCATGACTGTTGTTGCCTCAAGGACAGTAACTGAGATAAACATACAAAAAATAACAAAAGTCAAAGGAGAAGCATGTACTTTTGCTGCAGCCATAAATGACGCTTTCTGACTCCTGGGAGCCAAGTCTGAGTGTCACTGTCTTCCCCTTGGGAGGGTAGGCCCGTGCTCTCTCTTCACGTTTACAGTGAAAGGTTGCTCTTTGTCAGAGGTGTAAGAAACATGTTCTTCTCCAAGCCCCACCCCTACACAACCCCTGTGTATGCTGAGAACCAGGGGCACAGGTGTCCTGCGGAGTGGCTCACTAAGAACCAGGGCCACATATGTGTCCTGTGGAGTGGCCCACTGAGAACCAGGGCCACACAGGTGCCTTTTGGAGTGATCCACTGAGAACCAGGGCCACACAGGTGCCCTGTGGAGTGATCCACTGAGAACCAGGGCCACACAGGTGCCCTGTGGAGTGGCCCATTGAGAACCAGGGCCACACAGGTGCCCTATGGAGTGGCCCACTGAGAACCAGGGCCACGCAGGTACCCTGTGGAGTGGCCCATTGAGAACCGGGGTCACACAGGTGCCCTGTGGAGTGATCCACTGAGAACCAGAGCCACGCAGGTTTCCTACAGAGTGGCCCACTGAGAACCAGGGGCACACAGATGCCTTTTGGAGTGATCCACTGAGAACCAGGGCCACACAGGTGCCCTGTGGAGTGGCCCACAGAGTTGCTTCCAACTTTCCGCAAAGCTGGATTGGAATGTTACTTGAGTACGTGTTTAAACAGTGACTATAAAAATAGCCCTTGGACAAAAGTACATGCCACCAGATTCCAAACTTCAAGACAGCCCTATTCATTTGGTGCTGCCAGAGTGACTCCTTTTTTTGTGGACTTTGAAATAAAACACAATTCTACTTGGGCATGGGGGTGTAAGCTTGTTATTCTAGCACTTCTGAAAGTGGACACAGGAGGAATAAGACTTCAAGGCCACCTTGGTTACATATAGTGAGTTCAAGGCCAGCCTGGGCTGTACATGAGACCCTGTCTCAGAAATCTGAAGTAATGGGGCTAGAGAGATGGCTCAGTGGTTAAGGGCACTGACTGCTCCTCCAGAGGACTTGGGTTCAAATCCCAGCACCCATATCACAGCTCACAACTGTCTGTAACTCCGGAAAGGACCCGACACCAAGACCTGTAAAATAATAATGATAATAATATATGATAAAAATAAACAAATCTGAAGTAAGCAGTGGGCCTGCACAAGGCTGGTGCTGTCCACAGTCAATGACAAACTGACTCATTGCAACGGGGCTCACGGGGTTGAACCCACCTTGCCGAACTACTGGGATATACTGATAGATTCTGGGGGAGGGATGGTTATCGTCTGCAGTTGAGTAGCCAATAGTGAGCCCACCAGACTCCAGTGCATAGTTCTAAACCTTCTGGTCACACAGAGGATCCTGGTTAAAAAACAGAGGCTCACAAGCACAACAAGAGGACAGGAACGGACTTATAGGGAGGGAGGGAGTTGGCAGAAGACAATAAAAGAGAGCATGCGCACGCATGTGCTTTCTAAAATTTTTCTAAATTTATTTGTGCCTGTGTGTGTGTGTGTGTGTGTGTGTGTGTGTGTGTGTGTGTGTGTGTATGAACCATTTGTGCCACAGCATGCATGTGGCGGTCAAAGGACAACCTTATGTATCAGTCTTCACCTTCCCCTCTGTCCCTTGCCACTGGCTGTCCATGAGATTTTAGAGTCTGTCTCAGTTACTATCTCACCCCAGGGGCACAGGGATTGTAGTGCCCCCGGCCAACTGGCCTGTGGGCTTCTGGGATCCTCCTGTCTCTGCCTCCCATCTCACTACAGGGATGCTGAGATTATAGACACCTCCACTACTGCATCTGGCTTTACGTGGCTTCTGTGGATCTGCACAGTGCTCCACTACTGCATCTGGCTTTACGTGGCTTCTGTGGATCTGCACAGTGGTGTGGCCAGTGCTTTACCCACTGAGCTGTTTGCTAGACCAGAAGTAAAAATATTTTAAGTAATAACATGCACTGTTATCATTTTGGTAGTATACCACTTTGTTTTTAAACTAATTTAAAGCTTTCAAATCCATGCTCTAAAAGCATTGGCTTGCAAGTGCCTCCTTCTTCTACTGAAGCCATAACAGCATGGCTGGCGGGGAAACGGGAATTGGAAGTTGCCATCCCATAAATCATATCAAGTGATCATCAACTTTAAGGGTGGGTGCTGCTTTACAGCAGATGGAAACATGGAGAGCATTTCATGTCGTAAGTACCTTTCTGGTCCATTTCTCTGATACGAGCTTCCGGGTCCCAGCAGTTCTGTTGGATCACTCTGAAGACCTTCCCATCTTTCATCATCCTTGCTTCTCCCTGAGTCAGAAAAATCACATCAGCAAAGTATGTGGCCATCCAGGTGTCTGTGTGGAGGTCAGCCTCGGGTGTCCTTCCTCTGGGGCTGTCCACCGTGGCTTCACCCACTGGCCTGGAACTCACAGAGCAGGCTAGGCTGGCCAGCCAGAGAGCCCCAGGGACCCACCTGTCTCTGCCTTCTCAGTGCTGGGATTACAAGCACACATCACCATGTCTGTCTGTTAACATGGGTACTGGGGAATAGAACTCAGTTTCTCGTGCTTGCTGTGTGAGGAGACCTCTACTGATGGAGCCATCCCCTCAACCTGGATTAATCCTTTCCGGAATGTTTTGGAACATGTTTCTTCTCCATATAGTTTTAGGGATTTTTTTTCCATAATCAGTATGGAGATAAAAATTCGATTGCTTAATGGAGCTCAGCTTTTCTGTCTCTTGCCTTTCAGGCTTGGTATTGAAGGGTTGCTCTGTGTAGGTACCAGCAGCTGAACACAGAGACAAGCCCTTTCTACCTATGTGACTGAAGATGGCCCAATCCGTCAACTTGCTGATCTGAACCATTGGCTGTGAGACCCAGGAGGGCAACTTGTGTCTAGAAAATGTCATATCTCTGACACAATAGGGCTGGAAAAGACCTTTGAGATGGAGCATAATCTGACTCTCTAGGGAAGCAATATATGGGCAGTGAAAGTAAGTAAGTCTGTGTAACAGCACAGGGTCAGCTGATTCAACATCTTCATCATCTGATTTCTCCTAACCAGTCCACTGTTGTAGAATGCTATTTTAAGATGTGTTACATTTGTTTATGCTGTGGAATATTTGTTTAATGATGCAAAGATGGGTTGCATTCTTTTATGTTGCATTTGTTTAACTCTGTGAAGCTGTGTTACTGTGCCTGTCTAAAACACCTGATTGTTCTAATAAAGAGCTGAACGGCCAATAGCAAGGCAGGAGAAAGAATAGGCGGGGCTGGCAGGAGAGAGGATGAATGGGGGAGAGAGAGAGAGAGATCTAGGAGTGAGAGAAGAAGAAGGACTCCAGGGGCCAGCCACACAGCCACACAGCCACACAGCCACACAGCCACACAGCCACACAGCCACACAGCCACCCAGCCACCCAGCCACCCAGCCACACAGCCACCCAGCCACACAGCCACACAGCCACACAGCCACACAGCCACCCAGCCACCCAGCCACACAGCCACCCAGCCACCCAGCCACACAGCCACACAGCCACACAGCCACACAGCCACACAGCCACCCAGCCACCCAGCCACACAGCCACCCAGCCACCCAGCCACACAGCCACACAGCCACACAGCCACCCAGCCACACAGCCACACAGCCACACAGCCACACAGCCACACAGCCACACAGCCACATAGTCAACTACAGAGTAAGAAGTAGAGAAAGGTATATAGAAACAGGGAAAGGTCAAAGCCCAGAGGCAAAAGATAGACAGGATAATTTAAGAAAAGTTGGCAAGAAACAAGCTAAGCTAAGGCCAGGCATTCATAAAAAATAATAAGACTCTGTGTGTTTTATTTGGAAACTAGGTGGCAGCCCCCCCAAAAAAGTAAAAATAGTAAAACAACCAACTACAATCCACTAATTTGTTCAGTCCTAATATACTGTAATAACCTGTATAGAGGGCCAAGTCACATCCTTGGGGCAGAGCAGGAAATGCTAAAACTGGTTCCTGGGCAAATATAACAAAATTAAAAAAAGTTTTTGTGAGTTTTTTTGTAGTGGTGTTTCAATTCTGGTTTTTATTTCATAGATGTTGCTGTTTGAAGTCACCCCTAGTTTTCCTACTATTTCTGAGAAACCAACCGGCTACTTCCTCACCTACAACAAGGTTAATGCAAGCGGGGAAGAGTTGAGTTTCTTGGATGTCCAGCCTACAATATGCTAAGCCAGGGATACCATCCCTGGGTGGCCCTTAGGTATGTGCGGGGAGAAACTCACCTTGCCTTGCTGTTGGAGCTGCACCCAGCCTCCATAGCCGAACTTCTGCCGGGAGGAGACGTGTGGTTAGACTTATCAGTAAAGAAGATGGGCCTGCAGCCAAGGCGCATTCTCCAGACCCAGGATCCCAAGCTCTGTCCTGTCAGACACCGTCTTTCTGTCTGTTCTCTCCTCCATAGTGGCTCAAGATTTTCATTAAATCAATTCGCCTTTAAACTGGTATACTTATAGAGAAAGAAAAACTCTGTATTGGGGCTGGGGATGTAGCCCAGTTGGTAGGGTGCTTCCCTAGCATGCACAAAGCCCTGGGTTCCATCCTCAGCACCAGATACATTGGGCATGGTGGCTCACATCTCTAATCCCAGCACTCAGGAGGTGGAGGTCTGACAATCTGCAGTTCAAGGTCATTCCTGCCTACATAGGGAGTTTGAGACCAGCTTGGGCTACATGAGAATCTGTCTCAAAAAATTGGAAGAGACGTAGAGGAGGAGGCTAGCTTAGTTTTGTTTGAGAGTTTTATAGTTTTATTTTCCCCCTCGAACTCCTGGCTGAATCCATCACCCTGTCTCAGTCTCCTGAGCACTTGGAATTATAGGTTTGTGCTACCTTGTCCAACTCTTAAGTGATATTTTAACTTACCGGGGACTTTATACCTTCATCATGTGTTCAATAGAACTCCTGAGGAGGCCGGGCAGTGGTGGCGCACGTCTTTAATCCCACCACTCAGGAGCCAGAGGTAGGCGGATCTCTGTGAGTTCAAGGCCAGCCTGGTCCACAGAGTGAGTTCCAGGACAGGCTCCAAAGCTATACAGAGAAACTCTGTCTTAAAAAAAATGAGGAGATTGCTCAGCTGGTAAATGAAGGCAGAGGACCTGAGTTTGAGCCTGTTTACTCATGTGAAAAAGCTGGGTGCTGTGGCACACGTTTGGAATCCCAGCAGACCAGCCTGGAGCAGCTTTCACCGTGGACTCTGTTCCCGTGAATCTGATGTCTTTCCACCTCACGTTATCTGTTTTAAAAATGTATGTGTGTGTTTATGTGGGTGCCCGTGCGTGCGGAGGTGTGTGGGTCGATGGAGGCTGGGAGACCTTAGCTGTTACTTCTCAGGTACTAGCCACCTGGAGTTTTGAGACAGAATTTCTGCTAAATCATGAGCCCCAAGGATCCACCTGTCTCTTACTCCTCAGTTCAGGGATTAAAGGACTGCTTTTTGTTTTGTTTTGTTTGGGATTTTTTGTTTTGTTTTAGACAGGGTTTCTCTGTGTAGTCCTGGCTGTCCTGGAACTTGCTCTGTAGACCAGGCTGTCCTCGAACTCAGAGATCTGCCTGTCTGGCGAAAGGATTGCTTTTTAATGTGGGTTATGAAGATCAAATCCAGGCCTTCCTGCTTTTTAGGTGTTTTACTAACCGAGTCATCCATCCCCTAAACCACGCAAATTTTCTTTAAGAATCCCGACCCTAGCCAGGTGGTGGTGACACAGGTCTTTAATCCCAGCACTCAGGAGGCAGAGGCAGGTGGATTTCTGAGTTTGAGGCCAGCTTGGTCTACAGAGTGAGTTCCAGGACAGCTGGGACTACACAGAGAAACCCTGTCTGGGGGGGGAGCAACAAAGAAAAGAAAAGAAATCCTGGCCTTATCCCTGTTTGAAATCACCATAGCAAGTAAAAACAAAAGATCTGTGAAATACTAGTTCTTTATAACTCTCAGTTAATCATCATCCCAGAGGTGCTGACTCTGCCCTTTTCTTTCTTCATTGCACAAGGTGGTGGAGGCTGTGGGGGTGTGTCTATTAATATTTAAGAAGAAAAGGCAGGTTTGAAAAGCGATGATATAATTTCTTCCAAAAATACTTAAGGTTCCCAAACAAAATAGCACTAACTTACTCTTTTCGTTATTCCGTTGGAAAGTTTGGAGAAACTGTGAGAAAAGATCAGAGACAGGCGTTTTAACTGCTATCGTTAATGCTACTTTAACACCGGCTCTAGAGGGGTGAAGATGTGGTTCAGTAGGTAGAGCGCTTGCCTGGCATCCACAAAGACCTGGGTTCCATCCCCACCACTGCATAAACCAGGTATGGTGGTATACACCTATGATCCCAGAACTCCGGAGGTGAAGGCAGGAAAATCAGAAGTTCAAGGTTATCCTCAGCTACATAGCAAGTTCAAGGCCAGCCTAGGACATATGAAATACTGTCTCAGAAAACAAAACAAAACCAGACCCAACTCATTCTACTCTGGTAATATAGGCCAGAAATAAAGGAATAAAGAGAAAAACTTTAGCCCACACAGATATAACTCCCTTTACCTCACTCTCATCCTTCAGGGAATCACGGCCATTGGAGTCTAATTATCCCAATATTGGCTAACCATCACTCCCAGGGAAATGTCTACTGTGTTAAAGATCTGGTTGCTTCACCTGTGGGCTGGGATCCTATGAGGAATTTCCCTCTGTGGGTTAATCTGAATGGGAGAAGTGGGGAAGGGACTTGGTGTCAAGGGGGACACCGAGGAACAGAGGAAGTAGTGATATATCGGGGGCCAGACTTCTCCATTGGATGGGGTTAGATTGCTCTGAGGGACCCACAAAGCTCCGGGTTCACTTCTAAATATCAAGTGCTTTACCTATCAAGCTGGGTTAATAGTGTAGATAATAACTACACATGTTGTGACGTTTTGTATAAATCATCTCTCTCTCTTTTTGTGTATTTGTGTGTGTGCTCATGTGTGAGCATACATGTGTGCAGGGGCATGTGCATACGTAGAGAATTGTTCCTCCTCAGGTTCCATCCACTTTATTTTGTGAGGCAGGGTCTCTCTCCCATTGGTTTGGGGTTCACCCATTAGGCTAAGGTGACTGGTCCACAAACCTCAGGGGTCAGTCTGTCTCTACCTTCCTGGTGCTGGATGATTAGTACACATCACCACCCCTGGCTTTTTACATAGGCTCTGGGGACTGAACTCAGGTCCTCAACTGAGGCAATGCCTCAGCATTGTTTTTGTTTTTTTCATTTCCAAAGGTACAAGGTATTTTGACTGTTACTGTTGCTCTTATTCTTATGAAGGGTCTGCTTATCTGCCTGCAGCATGGGACTAAATACCCTCCCTCTTTCAGTGGAGTAGGTGAGAGGAGGGAGAGGTAGTAGAAAAAGCCACCAAGACTTCTGCCTGGAAGTGCACTCTTGTTTGCTGTTTAGGAAGTTTCTGGGACATACATCTATGTACCCCCAAATTCTTTATCTCCCCTTTTTCCAATCAGTTTTTAAAAAAAATGCCTTTAGGGTCCAGATGGTGGGGCGCCTGGAAACTGCCAGCTCTAGATGTCCAGTTCTCTGCTTCACATGGAGATAGGCTGTGGAGGGGGCCGGGGCTAGGAGACAGGAAAGGGAGGTGAGAATATGGCAGCCCGCTACAGAAAGCTTTCTCCTCCCCCCGAAGAGCAGGCTCTGTTCTAGGCTCCTCTGGTTGTCCAAGATGGAGAGTAGGAGGGTCTTTATTCTTAGGACTTAGCTGGAAACAGCCTCCTGTGCTCAGATGGAGGATTTTCTTGGGACCTAGTGAGATGATCACCCTTTCTAAGGATGCCAGAGAGTGTGTTACCCAGAAACAGTGGGCATTGGCTTAAACTGTTGGGAGGGAGTTGTGAAGACTGCCTTTAAGCTCAGATCCCACAGCAAGAATGCAAGCAGAGGCTGGGGTGTCATACACATCTGTAACGCAGCACTTAGGAAGCTGAGGCAGGAGAATCGTGCGTCGGATTCCAACCCGGGCTACAAAATGAGACCCTATCTGGGGGGAATGGGCAAGGTGGGGAAGAGAAAGGGAAGAATGGATGAAGCATTGGCTTCTATGTGCAGTGTACCTCCATGTGGCTGGAACTGAAAATTCCTCTCTGACTTATTCTGTCTTCGTCCCTTTGGGATACTCTGACACAATGCCACCCACCAGAGGCATCTAAATGCAGACATTTACGTTCTGGTTCCTGCCAAGCCTCATGCCAAGAAAAAAGTGCAGAGCTTCCTCTGGACTGTTTTATGAGAATCACCCGGTTCCTCGAGTGATTTAATTGCTTCCTGAAGCCCCGCCTCCGGGTACTTTTGCTTGCAAGGGAGGGTTTCAATACATGAATTTTGAGAGGAGATAACATTTAAACCACAGAACTTTTTAAGCCCTTTCAAGATTTCCATCTAGATAAGGGGGTAGAGACCCTGGAGCTTGAGACCCTCCTGGTGCGACATTCTCTAGGTGGATGATGAGTCATGCTGGCCAATCTCTCAAGGAGAATACAGGTGGGAGAGGTCCTCTAGGACCCACTCTTTAAACTGTGGGTCATGATCCCATGTGGTGGTCTCTTACTGGGTGTTATGAAAATTTCAGCAACAGCAAAGCATGCAACAATCACAAATCAATTCTAAGTCAGACGTATAACGAATCCGAGGTGGTTCTGGCAGTCTGTGCCCGAGTTGCATTGTGCAACTTCCCTGAAGCCTTGGTTCTGAACCCACAGCCCATGTACTTTGCACTGTACAGGCTGTCACACTGTGCCACGCCAACGAACAAGCCCCTGACACACCTCCGCTGAGACTCAAGACCATTGTATGCACTAAATTGCAGTGAGTGACTGCTGTACGTATAGTTTCCGGCTCTTAGAGAAACATGATGGATTCATTATGGAAAACAAAGACTTCCAATATTTCCCTGCTGTCATTCCTCAGCTCGTAAGTATCCTGTTAGTGTATTTTTGGATTGTACTATGTTCGAGTGCTTGTTTTAAATATTGCTATCTATCCCAGGGCTGGACATATAGTTCAGTCTGGAGAGTGCTTGCCTTGCGTGTATGAAGTCCTGGTTCGATCCCCAGCACCATATACACAGGCACGGTGGCTTATGCGTCTAATCCCAGCAGTCGAGAGGCAGCAGCAGAACGGTCAAGAGTTCAAGGTCATCCATCCCTGGTTACACAGAGAGGCCAGCATGGGCTATGAGACCCTGTCTCAAAAAATAAACAACAAACAAACAAACAAACAAACAAAACATTTGCTGTTTTATTTGCTGGCTTGAAATTCATAAGATGGTTTCAAGACTTTTGGCTTGGGATTAGGACAGAATTCCCAATGCTTTGTGGAATGGCCCTAAAAATACTTCTGCCATTCTATACTATATATTTATGTGATATAGCATTCTCAGCACTGTTATGGAAACAAAATACCCATCAATTCCAAAAAGCATTGAAGATGTTTTATGTCCTGCAGTGTCCAATGTTCAGCCAAGGTTTAATTCTTTATGTACAAACAAACACATTTATCTCATGAGTATGAAAATTTGCTTTTTATCCTTAGTACATATTAAAGAATTGTTTTAAAGTAAATTTCAGTACATGTTTGATTTTCATACCTATTTTATACACTAGTATATGTCGGATGGCATAAAAATGTCTTGGTATAAAGGAGTCCTGAGTGGGGAACTCTTGAGCAGCTTCAGAGCAGAGCTCACCATGGGAGCTCTGAGCATTTCATGTGGCTTTTTTGTTTGAATTTTATGAGGTTCAAACAAAAAGAAAATCTGTGCCTTTGGAGTTAATACTCCTTGCTTCCACTAGATTGAGGGATGTCATGCATTTGAGTGTGTGTGTGTGTGTGTGTCTGTGTGTCTGTGTGTCTGTCTGTCTGTCTGTGTCTATGTCTGTCTGTGTCTTTGTGTTTTCCTAAAACTGTCAGGTTAGGGAGTATGATACATTTCACACATCATTTATTCAACATAGTGTTCCTCAGATGATTCATCATAAGCCAGGGGTTGAAAACTATTGGAAGAAGAAAGACACTACCAGTAGCTTCCATAGGGCTCCTGGGAAGTGGCTGGGACATTCCTCTCATAAAATCATTAACCTCATGAAGTGTTGTTTACACTTTTCTAAGATGTACCCAGCACAAGAAGTTCCCAAGCAGACAAGCTCCACTGCGGGGTGTGAGGTCAGTGGGGCTCTCTGTTTCCATTGGCCACAATGGGATCGACTTTCAGACAGCTCAGTACTATTCCCACATTTCAATCTGTTATTTCTACCTCCCAGATCACTTACAACAATGGACAAAGAAATGCTTGAGATCAAAAGTTTGTTTGTTTTTTCCTTTGAGACAGGGTCTCATATAAACCAAGATGGCCTTAAATTCTCTGTGCAATGGAGGATGACCTTGAACATCTGACCCTCCTGCCTCCACCTCCTGAGTGCTGGGACAACGGGCAGGGGCCCGCTTTAATACAGTCCTGGAGACTGAACGCAGGACCTCACGCATGCTACATGAACACTGCATCACCCGATCTACACACTAAGCCTGAGGTTAGCATTTTTATATGAGATAACAGTGAGAAGAAAATGTGCTTGCACAATGAACTGCTTTTTAATTAGAGTTTGTGTTAACTCATTTTTTCCACTTTAAATAAAATAAAGATTAAACATTATCAGTAACATGAAAGTACTCCAGAACAGGAAAGACGGGGGTAAAACCAGATACTGTTCTAAATTAACTTCTAGGTAGTTACAAGTTTCCTCTGTGTTCCCACCTTGCTTTTTCAGTACCTCTCCCTCCCTCCTTCTCTTCCTCCTTTCCTCCCTCCCTCCCTCCTTTCCTTCCTTCCTGGTCTGGAATATACTCTGTAATTTTCTTCAGCCTACTGACACCAACTTTACAAGTTGTTAAGTGGGCTGAAGAGATAACTCAGAGGTTAAGAGTGTGTGTTGCTCTTCCAGAGGACCTGAGTTCTATTCCCAGCATCCTGTAACTCCAGCTCAAGGGGAATCTGATGTCTCTGACCACACACACACACACACACACACACACACACGCACACACACACACACACACACACACACACACACACACACCACAGGATTAGTCTTTAAGGGAAGTTTCCATTCTTAGGGACACCCAAAGAACGCTTCCCCTTTCAGCACCCCTCCTGGAATCTAGGGTTTCCCACATGCTAGGCAAACACTCTATCACTGAGCCATGCCCACAGGTCCACCCCGCCTTTTTTTCTTCTTACAGAGAACACTCTTTAGAGAAAGCAATGTACAAAAATTCCATGTCACAGCCTGTGAGGATTTCTAAGATACCTGCTTCCCAGGTCTCCCTAACAGGGTTCACAGCTTAAAGATCAGGCAGGAAAGGTTTCAGACAGAGCTCTGAAATAGACTGAAAAGACATTTCACAAAGCTATCTCCTGGTGCTTCTAGAGCCTATTTTAAACATTTTGGAAACCGACCACATTCTATTTTTTTTTTAAAATGGTCTTTTAGTTGCAACCGTGACTTTCGATCTTTGTAGTTGGCAGGTGTCGTTCCAACAGCTGAACACACTATTTAAAAGACAGCAAAGCTGCTTGACTTAAATCATCCAGGGATTTGAAAGGATGTGTCATGTGAGGGGGAAAGAAAGGCTCCAAGAAGCCCTTTATTTCTTTGAGCCATTGCTCCGTCGAAATGAATGTAAAAGTCATCTTTAGACAGTAGGAAATTATAGTTACCAAGTTGCTTCAAAATCACTCCCCCAAGAGCGAAGAAGAATGACATTCAGTTCCATCTCCAAAGAAGAGCGAGGAGGTCTATAAATAGAGCTGTTGAGAGACTCTGGAAAAGGTCCAGAAAGAATCCCGCACATTAGTTACCATTACCTTTTCTAGATCGGGCCATTCCTTTGGTAGAATATGAGTGTGGATGTCAATTTTCATCTCCACAGGATCAGAGGAGACACGTGTATGTACACAAAGGGAAATTTGATGTCAAGAGATCGTCATGAAAGGCAGAGTTCATTGACTTCCTCTGTCCCTTTATGTCTACCTTCAGGTACCAGTCAGCAGGCCTGGCCAGCCCAGGTTTGGTCCATGCCAACTGCCCTATTAAAGTTCAAGATTCTGTTTATCCCCTTGGCTTTGGTTCAGTACTCTTTGGTAACTAGGACTCAGCACAAAATTTAAAAAGAAAAAAAAAGGCAACAAGAAAACAGGAATGTACTCAACTTCTGGGGCCAAAAGGGCAGCACGCTGCCTTGACTCAACAGTAGCTCGGAACTTGACTGATTTGGAGGTGGGGATGTAGCTCAGTTGGCAGGAGGCTTGTCTAACGTGGGTTCCATTCACAGCCCCTCTTAAACCAGACATGATGGTGCACACTTATAATCATGGCACCTAGGAAATAGAGGCAGTTGGATCAGAAGTTCAAGGTCACCCTTGGCCTTATAGTAAGTTCAAGGCTGGTCTAGTAAATATGAAACCCTGCCTCCAGGAAATAAAAATTGACTAATTTTGTATTTTAATATTTAAATTTTATCAAGATACATTCTGTTAAAAATCAACTAGCATGTGTTTAGACAAAATAATTCAGGGGAGTTTTAAAGAAAAATCGTATATCGTCTAATTCATCTCTTCTTATATTTGGTTTTGTTACCCAGAAGTAACTCATGTTAATGGTTTTTGGGTTTTGTTTTTGATCCAGTTAGCTATTTCCATGTTTTTAAATCATATTTAAAAACTGCTTGTTTGAGCGAGGAGGTGGTAGCACACTCCTTTAATCCCAGCACTCGGGAGGTAGAGGCAGGCAGAGCTCTGTGAGTTCGACCTGGTCTACAGAGTGAGTTCTAGGACAGCCAGGGCTACACAGAGAAACCTGTCTCAAAAAAAAACAGTAAAAAAATAGAAAGAAAGAAAAAAAGAAAGAAAGAAAGAAAGAGAGAGAGAAAGAAAAAACTGTCTTGTTCACAAAAATTTAACATAGTAGGGGAAGTTTTTTCTTTTAATTATTTTAAGTGTGTAAGTATTTTGTCTATATGTCTGTCTGTGTACCCCATGCAGGTCTGATACCCTCAGAGATCAGAAGGAGGCATTGAAACTGGAGTTATGGATGGTTATGAGGGCATTGGATCCCCTGGAACCGGAATTACAGATGGTTGTGGGCTACCATGTGCGTGCTAGAAACTGAACCCAGGTCCTCTGGAAGAGCGGCCCGAGCTCTTAACCACTGAGCCGTCTCTCCAGCCCTGGGAAGTTTCATCTTCACTTGCATCATCTTTATGGTTCCATTTCGTTCTTTGCCTCTGGTTTTCTACCAGTGGTTCATTTCTCTTCTCACTCAGACGGGCAGGTATTGAGCAGGCACTGGCTGAGAGTTCTGCTGACCAAATGGTAGGGGAAGTTTCATCTTGTAGGAAGCGTCTACCATTCAGGTTGTACTTGGTCCTCGTGGACTTTTCAGTTCATTCATTCACTCATTTATGCACGCATTTAACCAACACTTCTGGGGACTTCCTATGTGCTGAAGATGTAAGGCTGAATGAGATAAGACGATGCACTTCCTATAATAATAGGTCCCTGGATACAGCCTTGCGTAGGGATGGAAACCAATCAGCATTCCAGCTGAGGGTGGGTTGTGTGGGCCAGGAGGGTGTCCATTGAAGCATAAAGTGGGACTTAACAGTCATGCCATCAAGGGGAGCCTGGGATAAACCAGTCCTTTTCCTCATCTTGGAAAGGAAAATGTTCAAAGGACCCTAGGGGCTCTGACAGACGTTACATCTACTCTAGGGATGTTCCCTTCCGCGAAATCTCTTCAGTACAGAAACCGAGTATTCAAAAAGCCTTCTGGCTGTAATTCACCTGATTATGGATGAATTATGAAAGCATATTAGTGATTGATGCTCAGCGTGAGAGGGAACAAGGGGAAATTTCAATGCTCTTGCCTTTCCTTGTTCATGAGACCCATTTTCACATGGCTTGGGCTGCCCTCAAAGTCCCTGTGTAGGATGGATTGCCTCGGACTCTTGACCTTGCCGCCTTCACACCTCGTGTGGACACTACAGGCATATAGCGCCGTGTGGAGCTCCTTTTTTTTTTTTTTTTTTTAAACACAGGGTCTGGTGTATTCCAGCCTGTCCTTGAACTCCTGGCCCTTCTCGTTCCTCTTTTTGAGGGTTGGGATTACTAGCCTGCACTACCAGACCCAGTCCGCATGGTTTGGATGGAGTTCAGAGCCTCTGCACACTGAGCCACACCCCGGCCTCTCCCTCGCCCATTCTCCTTATTGGGACCCCATTGCATCCCACCACCATGTTCCGCTTTGTCCACTCTCACAGACAGGACCTTGTCTCTCTTCAAGATTCTTTCATTGCTGCTGCTGGTCACTGGCTGCAGTGGCGGCTCCCCGTGGTTTGTCCCAGAGACTGTCTGGACCCAGCACAGTCTCTTTAAAACACAACCTGATCACATGCCTTTTGGCATAATGCTGTTTATGGTTTTTCACTGCTAGGTCCGCGAGAAACCCAGAGCCGCTAGTGTCCACTGAAACCCACAAGAAACAAGCACCACTAGTTCAGTCTCGGCCCCTCTTGTCTCCGTGTGCTGCCTACTGTGCCCTGTTCCCCAGCCACGGGCCACATTTCGTGCTTCCTCACACAAAATTCTGGCACCTTTCTGTCTCTATTTACTGCTTCCTTGGTGTTTGATGCCTGCAACAAAGGTCTTTGTTCTCCTTTCTAACTCTAACCAGGACTCAGTATTTAGCCTAAGCATCATGTCTTCTGATCACTCCTATCTCCCAGAGATAAAATGGACCACCCATTCACATCCCCATCCTCCACCCATACATCACCCCATCCTCCACCCATACACCTCCCCATCCTCCACCCATACACCTCTCCATCCTCAATCCACACACCTCCCCATCCTCCACCCACACACCTCCCCATCCTCCATCCATACACCTCCCCATCCTCACCCATACACCTCCCCATCCTCCACCCATATACTTCCCATCCTCTACCCATACACCTCCCCATTTACCTCCCATCCTCTACCCATACACCTCCCCATCCTCCACCCATACACATCCCCATCCTCTACCCATACATCACCCTATCCTCCACCCAAACACCTCCCCATCCTCTATCCACACACCTCTCTATCCTCTTTCCATACACCTCCCCATCCTCAATCCACATACCTCCCCATTCTCTATTCATACACCTCTCCATCTTCCACCCATATACCACACCATCCTCTATCCATACACCTCTCCATCCTCTATCCACACACCTCCCCATCCTCCACCCAAACACCTCCCCATCCTCCACCCATACACCTCCCCCTCCTCCACCCACCTTGCCTACCCCCAAACTCATGAGTAGAAAGGACCCCCCAGAAGTGTGAACAAGTTCTAGCTTATCTTCAAAGACACCAGAACTCCTTCCTGCTGCTTCCCCTCCACCCCGAGTGCCTGGGCTTAGGCACCCAGAGACTCTGTCTCTTTCTCCTTCTTAGCAATGGCAGGTGTGTTGTTCCACAGACTGGCTGACTTTTAGGCATGTCTGTGGGGGACTGTCTTGATTGCTAACTGAGGTGGAGAAATCCAGTCCACTGCAAGCAGCACCATTCACTGTGTTTGGGTCCCGGACTGTTTAAGAGTAGAGAAGGTGAATTGATTAGTACAACAATCGGGGTTCAGTCCAGTTAAAGAGGCAAATTATAATGGAAAGCAGAGAGGAGTTTTACTCAGTGTGGTCACAGTGTGAAGAGGGGCAGAGAGGTTCACTGACCTCCCCAATTCCACCTTCTGGGCTCCTAACAGGGGTTTAGGGCAGCATGGATGCTTAATTAAGAAGTGCTGGTTAATCAAGGCATGGTCCCACCTGCTTGACTCATCTTTATCTGGGCTCCAGTCTCCTCTGCAATGAGGTCTGACAAGTTGGAACTGTCTGAAATCTCTTCCTGGGAGTTAAATTCACTCTCTGGCAGGCACTAGGCTTCAGCCCTTTTCTTTCTCCTTAGCGTGAGATTCCTGGGAAACTTCCAATTTGTTGGGGTGCCTTGCTTCAATATTCCAATACCCGAAAGAAGGGCACAAGTGGTGGCCTTAGCATAGTGGTTGTCACCCCATGGGTCACAACCCCTTTGGTGTGTGTGTGTCGAATGACCTTTTCACAGGGGTCGCATATCAGATATCCTGTATATCAGATACTTACATTACAATTCACAACAGTAGCAAAATTACAGTTATGAAGCAGCAATGGTGATTATTTGGCTGGGGATGACCATGAGGAACTGTATTAAAGGGTCGCAGCATTAGGAAGGTTGAGAACCACTGCTTTAGAATGTTTTTATTTCTGCCAGGCTGCTGACAAGTCTTACTATTTGGAGACCACCTGATTCAGTCTTCTGCTCTTAAATTTGTCTACGTTCAGAAATTGCTGAACTAATAACTTTTTGAGTAAACACCACAGGAACAGGGACCATACTTGTCTGTTGATTTTATGTGCTGCCTCGTCAAGGTCATGACGCTCAGACCTTACACCAGACACTGCTCTGCCCTTTTCTGCTGATGTAGTTTTAAACTGTAGGAACACTTAAATCAATGGAGTTTCAGAAAACTAATCTGTTATTCACAATGGGAATGATCTTCATCCTGGGAGCTGGATGAGACTTCATTAAAAAAAAAAAAAAGCAACAGACTGATTTTCTCTCCTCCCACCCCTTGTCTATCTGTCTATCATGTCCCTTATTGATGGTAATATGTTCCAAAAATGTGTTAGGCAACTTTGTTATTGTGCAAACACCACTGAGTGTATTTACACAAACTTAAATGGTATAGGGCAAGCAAAAGACTTGGTAACACAGATAACATAGGAAGCTGCTGTCACTACAGCATCATTTTGTTGTTATTGTTGTTGTGCGTGTGTGTGTGT